TCCGCTGAAGTTAAAATGAGGATTTTCTTTCTGGAAGCTTTTTCTGCATTTGGTCTTGCACCCAAGGATCAGCTGCATACTCAGATTCCAGAATAGAAGTCCAACAATTTGCTGCATCTCTCTTTGTAAGAACAATACGGACCATTTTTCTACCCTCCAGAGTCCACGGGTTCCCTCATCAGCTATTGTAGAATCAAAGAGTTTGCCCTTGAGGATCTCGTGGCCACCCACGGCCAGCGCCACATGCCGGCTCTGCGGGCCGCACTGGATATCCTGAGCGCGAGTGCCTGGCGACACCTGAACTTCAATGAACACCTCCTCCAAGATCTGGTACCACTGGCCCCACGGCGTTCTGCATGGAACCGCCCCACTGCGCTCCTCAAACAGGGCTGACACACTCCAGTCGCCTCCTGGCCCCAGTGGCCATCCAAAGGTTTTTGAATCGCCTTGTCATATATTTAACAAGATGTTTAAACAAGATGGAATAGCAGCTACTACGTGTTTAAAAGCCATCTAGAGCAAAACTAAAATAACGTGCTTTTTAGATGAAAACAATGTGTCAACTTATTAAAACTGCTTGCAGAGAAAAATACTTTGCTTTCTGGAACCTGAGGAAGAAGTCATCAAACTGATGACTTCAGAGTACAAGTATTTCTTACATGACAGTGGCTGAAAAGATTCTCTTATCATTCTACTCCAGGAAGATGCTGAGACTGGTGTACATGAAATGAAACTGAAATATAAATGGAAAACCCCAGATGACTGGTTTCTTGAAGGCCAACTGTATTGCTCCTTTGCCGCAGTTTTAGAACCAAGGTTTAAGGACAAATTTTATTCACATGACCGTGTAAAGCAGCAGTTGCAGGCAAATATTGTGTGTGTGTGTGTGTGCGTGTGTGTGTGTATTTGGAGTAAAAAATATAAGCGTGGATAATACTTTCAGCAAAGATTCAAAAAAAATTTTCTTCACCTGGGACTAGAAGCTTCCGTCTGTGGGACTGCTTCAACCAAACTGCACCATCATCAGCAACCACACCAAGCTGAGGATATAAAATAGAGATGAGGGACTTCCCTGGCCGTCCAATGGTTAAGACTCAGCATTTCCACTGCAGAGGGTGTGGGTTCGATCCCTGGTTGGGAAACTAAGATCCCACATGCCGTGTGGCGCGGCCAAAAAAAAAACCGACATGAGCCTTTATCTTAGTTAGTTCCTATTAAAGAGAAGGGAAAGCTTAATAATTTTGTGGCAGCATCAATACTAGCAGTATCCCATAATGGCAGCACTAACCAAACATTTTCTGTTACACTGCCCTCCATAGATGAAAGAGAGCATCTATTTATGTGGTAGATGGCACTACTGTTTAGTTCCAGGTATATTTTTCTCTACTTCTAGGTATACGGAGGATTACACTCCTTCTGCCCTTTAAATTAGGAACAGCTATTTCACTAGTTTTGGCTCATGAAGCTGGAGTGGAAGGAACGTGTGCATGTCTGGGCCATAGCATTTTGCAGCCAGTGGTAAACACTCTAGTCCTCTCTCTGCTGCATTAAATCCTGAGCCTCACTTTGAGAACTGGGCATGATAAAATGGAGTCTCCATCAGTCTACCAACCCCTGTTGGATATGCAGCACAAACAAAAAATAAATCTTTCTCATTTTAAGCCTGTGGGATTTTAGGGCTTATTTCCTAAGCATAACCTAGCTTATCCTGACTGGTGTAAGTTAGTGTCATAAACATATAGTATAATGACCCCAGAAGCAAACTATCAGCTTACATTGATGAGAAGTAAATACTCCTGAAGGGGATGTCAAACTCTAAAAATCTGAATACTTACATTTTAACAACAAAATTATAATATTTTAATATTATCTAATTTTTATATTTCATGTTGATTCTGGTATCTCAGAAGTTTATTATATAATAGTGATATTCTGCTTCAGCCAAATACTGATTTTTAACATGTAGCTGGTTTTTGTTTGTTTTCAGCCGTGCCATGTGGCATGTGGCATCTTAGTTCCCTAACCAGGGATCGAACCCGTGCCCCCTGCAGGGGAAGCATGGAGTCTTAACCACTGGACAGCCAGGGAAGTCCCTAACATGTAGCTGTTTTGCATTCAGCCAAAATGTATTTTTGGTGCCTCTCTAAAAAAAAATATACTAAATAGGGCTTCCCTGGTGGCGCAGTGGTTGAGAGTCCGCCTGCCGATGCAGGGGACACGGGTTCGTGCCCCGGTCCGGGAAGATCCCACATGCCACGGAGCGGCTGGGCCCGTGAGCCATGGCCGCTGAGCCTGCGCGTCCGGAGCCTGTGCTCCGCAACGGGAGAGGCCACGACAGTGAGAGGCCCGCGTACCGCAAAAAATAAATAAATAAACAAACAAACAAATAAATATATATATATATACACACACATATATACACTAAATAAAAATGATATGAATAAAAGCCTGGCTGTGCGTCCTTCAAGTTAGTTACTTGACAGAAACCTGAAACTATTTGTAAATTAGGTCACATTTCTTCTAAGGAGGAATACCTTGATCTTATGGAATACAGGTGTTTTTTGCTGCCACCTTGCATCCTAGGTCTCATCTCTTCTGCTGCCACCAGCTGGCTTCCACTACTGATAAATTCCAGAAACCAGCAGGATTCTATTCAGTGTTTTTTTTTTTTAAATTGTGGGGGAAGGGAATGTATTTTTTTTAATTTATTTATTTATTTTTGGCTGTGTTGGGTCTTCGTTTCTGTGCGAGGGCTTTCTCTAGTTGCGGCGAGTGGGGGCCACTCTTCATTGCGGTGCGCGGGCCTCTCACTTTCGCGGCCTCTCTTGCTGTGGAGCACAGGCTCCAGACGCGCAGGCTCAGTAGTTGTGGCTCACGGGCCCAGTTGCTCCGCGGCATGTGGGATCTTCCCAGACCAGGGCTCGAACCCGTGTTCCCTGCACTGGCAGGCAGACTCTCAACCACTGCACCACCAGGGAAGCCCCAGTGTTTTGTTTTGACTGCTGGGTCCCTGATGAGAACACCAAGTCAGTTGAACAAGTAAAATTTTAGGTTGGGAACAGAAAAACACAATCAACTCATTTCCTACATATTTTGGGTAATCAGCCACACAGTAACTGGTTTTTGTCCCAGCAAGTGGTCCAGACAAGGCTTCAGGCTAACAAAAGAGAAGACATTTTAATTCTTAAGTAAATTTTCTCATCCTAGGAAAGAACAGTGTTAAAAGCTACAGTCATTATACAAGAGCAAACAAAGGTCAGTTCAAATACAATAGTGTACCAACAGTCTTAGTGTAGTTTTAAGCTTTAACAACTTCAGAAGTACAAACTCTATGAACTTACACAAAACATCACTTGAAAAATAAAATTATTTAAATTTCTTTCATGCTTCTTTGGTCTCGGGAATTTTTGAATAATAAATGTAATTCAATTTTTTGTTTCAGTCAACGTTTGCCATCCTCAGGGGGACTAAAAAATTTGAAATTTAAAATTACTTGAAATTCACCAAATTAAATAGTGTAAAAGAAATTTAAATAAATTTTCAAGTGATGCTTTATGCAAGTTTTCGGCATTTATACTTCTGAAAGTATCAAAACCTAAAACTGCAGTAAGACTTTCGGGAAACCTGTACATGGAAAACTGTGGAGTCACAGGGTGCTTGAATATAAACTTTTATAATTATACCTAGCTTTGTCCAAAATAAATTGAAAGATTTTAAAACAACACATGTACACACATATAGGCAAGAAGATGTAAAACTGAGTCATAAGGTTTCTTGAAGCTAGGGAGATACGGTGCTAAATTATTAAAACTTTAGGAAAAGTATGGGAGAGTGAGGCAAATGAGTAACAGTATCTGTCATACAGGTTCCTAGTATGACACTATATTTTTACTTTGAAGAAGGCTGAGGGTGCAGTTTTATTTGGGATACTTGTTCTTAAGCTAGTATTATGTTCTCAATATTTCGGTATTAGTATTACTATTGCTAATGATGATTTTCCAGAAAAGTAAAAACAACTTTTAAAGACTTGGGCCTTAAGAAAATGCAAAAAACAAAGAAACAACAAACAAACAAACAAAACTCCATAAATACTAGTTTTCCTTCAGTGGTTCTCAGTCTTGGCTGCACAATGGAATGACCTGAGTTTAAAAAATACTGATGCTTGGATCTCATTCTGAAATTCTGATTCAAGTGGTCTAAGCTAGAGAACAGGCATCAGGAATTTTTAAAGCCCCCTGGTGATCCTAATGTTACAGCCAAGGTTGAGAACCACTGCGCCAGGTCAATATATGATCAGGTACACGTCAACAAAAAAATATGTACAGATGTTCAGAACTTTTTTTTAATGTAGCACCAATCTCAAATTTTATAATGGAAGAGGTTGAGAAAAGAACCTAAAGCTCAAAAAAATCATGTTGAACGAAATAAGCCGGACACAAGAGTATACTTATTGTATGATTCTATTTACACAAAGATTTAAAAATTAGAAAAGGGGTGATGGGAGGGCGAGGAGAGGATTAACCGGGAAGCGAGCGAAGAAAACTTCTGAGATGGAAATGTTCTCTATTTTTAGTAGGGTACACAGATATATAGTTATCAAAACTCATCGAAATAGTTGAGATCCGTATTATGTTTTCGCTATATGTAAATTACGCTTCAATAAAAAGAACGAATAAACATAATTAACTTAAATCTGGATACCTATGACAGAGTCTGAGCGGCGGAGACGATTATTATTTGGGATTACCCAAACCCCACTAGATTAAAAGGAAGCGCAAACCCCAGACCAGAACCGGAGAATGGAGAGCAGACAGCAGGGAGGGCCATAGCCTAAGAAATCGCTAGAGGGCTGGCAGCCGCAGTCTAGTTGATACCTAGACAGCGGCGCCCGAGTGCCCCGCTAAAATAAGCCCCCACGCCCTTTTCCGGTGCGCACACTGCCGTTCGTGCGACCCACCAGAAGGATCCGGAAGGAAACGACGCCACCACGAAAAAGGAGCCGGTGGCAGCTGGGTTTCTGCGCAGATGCTGGGGCTGTAGGCGCCGCGCGGCCGGCTGGTTGCGGCTCGCAGGGAGGACGCCGGCGCTCGCCTTCCCTCCGCTGCCCCCGCCGCTGCCATGATTCCGGTATCGCTGGTGGTGGTGGTGGTGGGCGGCTGGACTGCCGTCTACCTGACCGACTTGGTGTTGAAGGTGAGGGCCTCGGGCCTAAGGCCCAAGCCCGCGGTACCAGGGCCGGGGCGCAAGGCCCTAGGCCTTTTCTCTTCCCCTGCCTTGTGCCTCCCGGGCTGAAAGCCGTGCGACCGGAACCCACGTGCGGCCTTCCGCGTGGCGCCCGGTCCCATGGAGTAAATAAAGCACGGCTGGCCGCGGGAGGGGTGTGGCGGCCTGCGCAGCTGCCGCAGTATCATTGCGGGGCTTTGCAGGCCCCGCAGCCTTCGGGTCCTGCCCGGGAGGCGCCGGTAGTGGGTTCGGGAGGGGCGGGGCCCTGCCAAACCCCGCGGCGTTGCACCTGGGAGGAAATAAAATATCCTCCTGGGAAAGACTTTGTTTGCCCTCTTTGTCTTTAAGGCCACGACCCTCCAGAGACTGGTATTGGAATGAATCTAAATCAAGTTGTGATTTACATCAGTGGCCTCAAACTTTAAAGTGCTTATGACCATCTGGGGTTCCAGTTAAAATGCACATTCTGATTCAGCAGGTCTGGGGCGGGGGCCTAAGATTATGCATTTTTAACCGGTTCCCAAGTGCTACCAATGCTGCCAATCTACAGACCATACTTAAAAGTAGCAAGGCTTTAGATAACTAGTTTCTGACTACTCGAATTCTAATTTGTATCTTAGACGCCGTTTCTTCACACTAACCCCGCTTAATACTCCCACCCCCGCCCCCCACACACACCCTGGGTGCACGGTCCATTCTTATTTGGGTAGCAGATATTATGGACAGTTGTCTGACCACATGCTTCAGGCACCCTTTCGGAATTGCATACTGGGGGTGGGAGTATTGTATGCGTGGAATAAAATCATGTAAATTCTCAAATATTTAATGAAAATTCCAATTATGACTAGTAAAACCTTCATGTTATGAATACTGTTTTAAATAGAGTACTGTAGTTTAGTATTGTGTGGTTTAGGCTTAACAGCAAAATGGTAACTTTTGTTGCATTCAAACTTGCAAAGTGAGGAGATTATACAGTTGAATCCTTAGAGCAGTCCTTAGAGCTGTGCTCTCCCACTTCGTATCCATTGAGAGCTTGGGCAGATTACTCTCTGTTCCTCCATTTCTTCATCTTTAAAATAGGCATAATAAATGTAAAGCTCTCCTGAGATTATAGAGAGGATTTCATTAATTCATCCACATAGAGCCTTGCTACTCAACCTGAGATTCAAGGACCAGCAGCACTTGGCATCATCTGGGAGCCTGTCAGAAATGTAGAATCTCAGGCCTCATTCCTGACCCACAGAATCCGAATCTGCATCCTCATAAGATCCCCAGGTGCTTTCTCTGCACATACTTGGCACGGTGCTTAGCATGTCATGAGCAGTACAGGCCACTGCTGGTTTAAACAGTGATTTTGTTGTTTGGAAAAAACAAAGCCGCGTGATTTCTTCATGTTGCATGGGTGACAAAAATCCAAAATAAAAATAATTTTTCAAATCTCTATAGTCTCTGGTCCAGTGTGTGAGGTGATCAGGATGTCACTTTAATTTCAGTAACAGCTCCTAACTTGCTAAGAGAGCACTATTCCTTGAGCGAAAGACGGATCTCTCATTCAGAGTATCCCATTGGGGAATGGAGAGACCTCAGGTTTTAGGAGCCTGCACCTTCAGCTTCTCTGCTTCTAACTTGGTCTGCTGTTCCATCCTTGGTTTGTCTAGGATTTCCTCAGTAGACACCTGGAGGGGTGTGCCACTCTCCTTTTCCACGTCCTAGAAGACAAGCAGGTTTAATAACTTCACCTGAAGATTGAGAGCAGAGAGCATTATGGATCCAAAGGCAAACAGATACCTATATTCAGACTCAGGTCATTTTATGACTGTGATAGGGCTGAAATATCCTTCTAGATAAGTTTCTCAAATGGATGGGCATCTGTATGACAAAATACTTACCATACTTACTGTAAGAGGTAAGAGGTCAGTGGCAGTGTATGTAAAACAGCCTTATGTTATCCAAAATCTTACATTACTCGAGGACTTCAAACTTCCCTAAAGATAAAACTCTTTGCTAGGCTGCGAATAAGCAGCTATCTCCCCAACAGTGAAGAATGTAAGAAGTTACTGAGACCAAGGTGGCTTTAGATAAGTTTTGTACTTTTTCATGGTCAAATTCAGCCTAATTTCTTAGGGTTGTTGCTCAGAAGAGGATAGAAAGCACCAATTCCAGCTAACCTGTCCCCTCTGTTGGATTGGCTGGGGGTCTTTTTTAATTACAACAAAAGACCTCTTTCTCTGGTAACAAGGCTTCTAGACCTGTGCTGTCCAGTATGGTAGCCACTAACTACATGTGGCCATGTAGCATTTGAAATGGGGCTAGTCCGAATAGAGATGTGCTGTAAGTGTAAAGCTGACACTGAATTTCAAAGACTTAATGCGTAAGTAAGTAAATAAATAGAATGTGAGGTGTTTCAATATATTAATTATATTCTGAATGATAATATCTTGATATTTTGAGTTAAAAATACATTTAAATTAATCTCTGTTTCTGTTTGCCTTTTAAAATTCGGCTACTAGAAAATTAAAAATTACATATGTGGCTTGCACTTATAGCTCCCATTATATGTCTGTTGGACAATGCTGTTCTAAGCAAAGGCCAGCAAACTTTTTTGCTCGTGGGCCGTAGTTTGCCAGACCCTGACTTCAGCACATCAGCCAATCCAAGACTCTTACTTTAATATCCTGAAGAATAAACATAAAGCTTTAAAATTATAAACATTTGATTAGTCAGTATCTTGCTTTCCTGTAGAAAACACTTTTATTTTCTTAAGCCTTATAAATTATTCTTCAAAATTCAGTGATGTGGAACTTTTCTTTCTCTCTTAGTCATCTGTGTATTTTAAGCATTCTTATGAAGACTGGCTGGAAAACAACGGATTGAGCATCTCCCCTTTTCACATAAGATGGCAGACTGCTATTTTCAATCGTGCGTTTTACAGTTGGGGACGGCGGAAAGCAAGGATGCTTTACCAGTGGTATTCTTTACTTTCTCTTTTTGGTTTAAATTAGTCATTTGTGATCATGAGAAATACTTGTTAAATGAACTGTTTCCATCATTTTCAATTTATTGAGTTTTAAAATGTTGACAATGTAAAAACTTTCTGGCTTTATATAAATTCATGGGATTGCATCATTGTGCTTTTGCGTACATTCAAAATCAAGGTTCTGTGTCTTGATCTGGGTGGTGGATACATCGGTATACATATGTAAAAATTCAATGAGCTGTACGCTTCAGACTTAGGCACTTTGTGTAAGTTATACACCAATAGAAAGGCAAAAAGCATATGGAGCATTTTCCACCAAGAAAATAATCCTGGAGAATTCTCTCCCCCATCATGACACATAGAAACAAGGGTCCTGGGAGTCATAGGGCTCCCAAAAGTCTGCCGGCTTTCCTCTATAATTCTTCTGTGATACCCATCCAGGGCAAGGATATTTAAAATACTTATCATCCAGTAAGGCATACACACAAACCAATCAGGAAAATGGCCAGCCAGGTTACAGCAGCAGGGTCCTGGAGCCCTCTGGCTATACCAGGCATATCCCTTTAATTTAAAATATTTTTAAAATCATGGTTTATAGTGTTTATGGTTAGGGGGTTTACAATGATCTCTGGGACACCCTAGAGACTGACAGTTTCTGTACTTGACAGAATTTCTAATATGGCAGTAGGGGGCCTTTGTCGAAATTCCTTTGTGTTAAAAATTTAGCTCCAACTAGAGTAGGGCTAAATATAAACGATCAAGTCATCAAAAAGCAGAAAATGCAACAGCAAATCAAAGCAAACAAAATAGAAATAATAAAGATAAGAACAGAAATAAACGAAATAGAAAGTATACAGTAGAGAAAATCAGCAAAGCCAGAAGTTGGTACTTTGAAAAGATTAATAAAATTAATAAAACCCTACCATGACTGATCAAGGAAAAAACCAAACAAAATAGCTAAAAATCAGAATTGAAAGGAGAAACATTACTATAGATTCTGAGACTTGTTTTATTTTATTTTTATTTATTTATTTATTTATTTTTTGGCCACACCATACAGCTTCTGGGATTTTAGTTCCCCAACCAGGGATTGAACCCACGCCCTTGGCAATGAGAGAATGGAGTGAGACTCATTTTGAAAAATGAAACTATTGTGAACAGTTGTATACCTATAAATTTGACTATTTAGATGAAATGGACAAATGCCTTGAAAAACACAACTTATCAAAAAGTTAGAAAATATAATAGATTATTCCCAACTATAGAGGAGTGATTTCTAATTTCTAATTATTAAAACAGTAGAAGAAAGAAACTGTTGTTAAGTTTTACTATGTTAATATTTAAGCTCATTACAAAATTCAAGTAAAATAAAATGCAAACAAAAGAATCGGTAGATGAAAAAGAATGATGTCTATAATGTGAAAAGAGCTTTCATAACTACATGAGAACAAGATCAAAACAATGCTATGTAAATGAGCAAAAAAATATGAGAGGAAACAAACTTTTTATTGGGAACAACATTCAGCCTCTTCAGTTATGAGAGAATTGTAAATTATAACTGCTTAAAGAGACTAGTGCCCATGCTTCAGTCAAGTATCTGAACTTCAAGTAGGAGAAAGAAGCAGAGTTATTGAAATTTTTAGACATTGTTTTGAAGCTATGAAAGGTGGCTGGTTAATGAATTTTTTAGTCCATGAATTGTGAGGAATTGTACATTTATGTAATTTTTTTCCTCTTGACAGGTTCAATTTTGGAATGGTGTTTGGTGTAATTGCTATGTTCAGCTCTTTTTTTCTTCTGGGGAAAACGCTGATGCAGACTTTAGGCCAAATGATGGCTGACTCTCCCGCTTCTTATTCTTCCTCCTCTTCTTCCTCCTCTTCCTCTTCCTCCTCTTCCTCTTCTTCCTCCTCCTCTTCATCCTCTTCCTCTTCCTCACTTCACAACGAACAGGTGCTACAAGTTGTGGTAAGTGCCTTCTTATTGCTTTAAGTAGCTTTGTTGAAACATAGATATAAGAAATTTCTTCTGGATAGCATAATTCCTATCCATAATATAAATATGAAATAAATGAAAAGTCTCACAATTTCTCAAATTACTTGCTTAAACAAAATCATTAGTAAGAGTATAGCAAAGAATTGTTGCAATGTGTAGTAGTAGTAGTAATAATAGAACAAATGGACCACCACTAAGACTGTCAACAATTACACAAGTATTCGATTTAATTCATGTTGTCTTTTTTTTCAGTGCAAGGTTTTTTTTAAATTGAAGTATAGTTGCTGTACAATATTATATAAGTTGTGGGTGTACCATATAGTGATTCGCAATTTTTTAAAGTTATACTCCGTTTATAGTTATTATAAAATATCGGCTCTATTCCCTGTGTTGTAAAATATATACTTGTAGCTTGTTTTATACCTAACTTGGTAATTCATGTTGTCTTCTTGAGGTGTTGAATAATTGTTACTGTCAAGGAATAAGCATACTGATTTAAGATCTCTATAATGTAGAAATAAATTGCATCTTAATCCTATGCAAAATGTTCCCGTTTCTTCTTCATGGCTTTCAGATTCTTAAGCAATAATATCCTTTTAATTAAAGGTAAAAGACCTTTTGAATGATCACTGTGATTTCTTGATATGAAGAATAATGTGCTGAGTTGTACTCCTTTGACTGTAAGCTACTTAAAATAATTCCCACTTTAAAGCACATGTGTAGACCAATACCTTATCAATTCATGTTTCCAGAGTTTGAAAGGGTGCTTTACCACTGACTAACTTCAATTTTAAATTTTTTACGTTAATAGTTTCCATTTCCGTGAGTCATGGACGTTATGTTTTTAATCGTGTTCTTATTAATGAAATAGACTATATGAGTTAGTGACTTTTTTTTAAATTGAAGTATAGTTGATTTACAGTATTATGTTAGTTTCAGGTGTACAGCATAGTGAGTCAGTATTTTTGCAGATTAAATTCCATTGTAGGTTATTACAAGATAATGGGTGTAATTCCCAGTGCTATACAGTATATCCGTGTTACTTATCTATTTTACTTTATTTTATTTTTATATCTTTATTGGAGTATAATTGCTTTACAATGTTGTGTTAGTTTCTGTTGTACAACAAAGTGAATCAGCTATAAGTATACAGATATCCCCTCCCTCTTGAGCCTCCCTCCCACCCTCCCTATCCCACCCCTCTAGGTGGTCACAAAGCACCAAGCTGATCTCCCTGTGCTATGCAGCTGCTTCCCACTAGCCATCCACTTTACATTTGGTAGTGTATATATGTCAATGCTACTCTCTCACTTCATCCCAAATATACAAACTATATAGTAGTTTGTATCTGTTAATACCCCTTATTTGTCCCTCCCTTCTTCCTTTTCCCCTTCGATAACCACAGGTTTGTTTTCTATATCTGTGAGTCTGCTTCTGTTTTGCATATACATTCATTTGTATTATTTTTTAGGTTACACATATAAGTGATAGTATACAGTATTTGTCTATCTCTGTCTTATTTCACTAAGCATAATATTCTGTACGTCCAACCACATTGCTGCAGATGGCAGTATTTCATTCTTTTATGTGGCTGAGTAATATTCCAGTGTATGTATGTGTGTGTGTATATATATATATATATATGTACATCTTCTTAATCCATTTGTCTGATGGGCACTTGGGTTGTTTCCATGTCTTGGCTATTGTAAATAGTGCTGCTATGAACATTAGAGTGCATGTATCTTTTTGAATTAGTGTTTTTGTTTTTTTCATATATATACCCAGGGGTGGGATTGCTGAATCATATGGTAGTCCTATTTTTAGCTTTTTAAGGAACCTCCATACTGTTTTCCATAGCGGCTGCACTAATTTACATTCCCACCAACAGTGCACAGGAGTTCCCTTTTCTCCACATCCTCGCCAACATTTGTTATTTGTAGACTTTTTGATGATAGCCATTCTGGCAGGTGTGAGGTAATACCTCATTGTGGTTTTGATTTGCATTTCTCTAATAATTAGCAGTGTTGAGCATCTTTTCATGTGTTAGCTATCTGTATGTCTTCTTTGGAAAAATGTCTATTCAAGATTGACAGATTTTTTTTTAACTCATCTCTTTGTGGCCTCTACTAGCTGTGTCACTATGGGAAGATTACAAGTCATTTGTAGCAAAACATAAAGAATCTCTCCTATGGTAATAGCTCTTTCTTAGAGGTTAAAAGGATTCAGGTGGGTGAGGCCTCAGACGAGATGATTTATTTCTTCAGCAAACATTTACTGAGTGTAGTCTGCCTACTGGCCTTGTGCTTAGTCCTGCTTATACAGGGAACAAAATCCAATCCTAGCACTTACAGAGCTTTTAGTCTAGAGGGAGAGCTGCTATGATTTTCTACAGTTGGACAGAGTACAAGGTGCTGCGGGAACAAAGACAAGCCCTGCTGAGGTGTGCCTGGTACTGGGAAGAGAGTAGAGGAGAAGGGAAGGGAAGGAGAGTCCACATAGCCTGGGAAAGGAAGATGGCAGTTGAGCATGCCAGAAACAGAGGGAACCATATAACATGGAAAGGCAGAGGGAATAATTATACTAATAATAAAACCTAGTTAGGGGCTTCCCTGGTGGCACAGTGGTTAAGAATCTGCCAGCCAGTGCAGGGGACACAGGTTCGAGTCCTGGTCCGGAAAGATCCCACATGCCACGGAGCAACTAAGCTCATGCACCACAACTACTGAGCCTGCGTGCCGCAACTACTGAAGCCCGTGCGCCTAGAGCCCATGCTCCGCAACAAGAGAAGCCACCGCAATGAGAAGACCGCACACCGCCACGAAGAGTAGCCCCCGCTCGCCGCAACTAGAGAAAGCCCGCACGCAGCAACGAAGACCCAATGCAGCCAAAAATAAATATAAATTAAATAAATTTATTTTTAAAAAATACTAGTTAATATGCAATGCTTCCCATGTGAGGTTTTTTGTGCCTATTTTATTTTATTCCTGCAGCAATGTAGAGGTAAGCATTGTTGTTATCCCTGATTCACAGATGAGAAAACCAAGGCACAGAGCTGTTAAGTCACTTGCCTGTGATCACAGCTAGTAAATGGTGGGTCCATCACTCACCCACCACTGACCTCAGAGCCTGTGCACAGTATGCTCTACTCTCTTAAAAAAGACCAGTAATTCCTCAAGGAACTATAAAGTAACTTTGACCTGTATCTAAGAGGTATATGGTGGAAGGTATATGGTGTAGGAGATAAGATGGGAGATATAGGTAGGGTCTGTGTTATGAAGGGCCATTCTAAGAAGTTTTGATTTTATCTGTAGATAACAAGTCTATGCAAAATGGACTGGAGTAGGGTTTCACCGAAGATGGGGAGACCATTTAAGAGAGCATTTGGAATAATTCATGTTAGAAGTTATAAAGATCTTAACTAAATTAGTGGTAAGGAGAATGAAGGGGCTGGATTCAAGGGATCTTTTGCAGTGGAGTTCTCAGACCTCAGTCATTAATTGAATGTGAGGCTGGAGGGAGAAGAAAGTCGAGGATGACTCTCAGGCTGCATGGCTGTTTATTGTTTGCCAAGAAAGAGGATAGTAGAGAAAGAAGCAGACTTGGAGAAAATATGATCACTGGCCTGTCTGCCTGCTAGGATTAGAATGGCAAAAGGGTTTTTGGGGGGTTTTTGGATTTATTTCAGTTTAACAAGTTTGTTTGTGTTTTTGGTTTTTTTTAAAGACACATTTATTCAGACTATTACATTTAGCAGTCAACAGCGTGGGTACAAAGAAAAATCTATATTAAAACGCTTTGTTGGAATGCTTTACACTTTCCACAGAATAGAAGCTAAAATAATCTATTATACAATTAGTCACAAATATAGTCCTTGGGGTATTTTTGCCCATACACAGGAGTATTGTCTAAAACAGGGGTACCCAACTCCTGGGCCGCGGACCACTACTGGTCTGTGGCCTGTTAGGAACCGGGCCGCACAGCAGGAGGTGAGCGGCAGGCGAGTGAGCGAAGCTTCATCTGCCACTCCCCATCGCTCGCATTACCGCCTGAACCATCCCCCCCACACACAATCCATGGAAAAATTGTCTTCCACGAAACCAGTCCCTGGTGCCAAAAAGGTTGGGGACCGCTGGTCTAAAACATGTCTTTGTAGCAACTAGGCCCTGCCACCTCTGTGCTTGGTTGAGTTCCCAAATCTGTTGTAACCTGTAGCTTCCCTGTCATTTCTCTGGCTCTCCTCTCCTGCTAAGCTTTGTTTCCTGGCAGTAATTAAAACCTCCTGCCATAGCCACCTTGGTTTCGTGGTTTGGCAAAGTATTGGCCTCATCCCCCATAGGGGCCAGAACTTCTGCCTCCAAAGTTTCCTCCTTTCATGGGTCCAAAATTTGAACATTGATTGTTGTAATTGCCAAAATCATTGTAGCTTCCGCCGCCTCCAAAATTGCTTCCGTCATTACCAAACAAACCCATTATAGCCATCCCCACTGCCACCATATCCCCCACCACGGCTGCCACCAGAGCCACCTCGGCCACTGAAGTTTCCTCCACGACCAAAGCTGTCATTCCCACCAAAACCCCCTCCACGACCACCACCAAAGTTTCCAGAAACACCTTGCTCTCTTTGGCTGGATGAAGCACTAGCCATCTCTTGCTTAGATAGGGCTTTTCTTACTTCACAGTGTGGTATTTCTGAATGACAGTCTTGTCTGCAGAGTCATGGCCATCAAATGGTACAAAAGCAAAGCCTCTCTTTTTGCCATTGCCTCAGCCAGTCACTTTTTTCCCCATACTATTCAAAATAATCTCTTAGATGATGTTCTTCAGTGTCTTCTTTAATGCCACCAACAAAAATCTTTTTCACAGTTAAGTGGGCACCAGGTCTTTGAGAATCTTCTCTTGAGACGGCCCTCTTTGGTTCCCCAACTCTTCCATCCACCTCGTGTGGCCTTGCCTTCATGGTTGCATCCACCTCCTCGACAGTGGCATACATGACAAACCCGAAGCCTCTGGAGCGCCTGGTGTTTGGATCCCTCGTTACCACACAGTCTGTGCGCGTTCCCCACTGCTCAGGTGGCTCCTCAGACTCTCACTGGTTGTTTCAAAGCTGAGACCTCCAACGAAGAGCTTCCACAGCTGTTCGGGCTCTTTGGGAGACTCTGATTTAGACGTGACAGCAGTGGGGCTGGGGAGACTTTAATGATGCTTACTCAGCGGCGTCCACGAGCAGAAACAAAGCTAACAAAGTTTTTTAAATTTTTTTATTTGATAAATTTGACATGTTACTGTTTGCAAATTTAAGGTGTACAGCGATGTACACCTTATGTACTTTCATACATTTATTTATTGTAATATGATTGCCATTGGAGCAATATTTATCACATTATAGTACAATTTTATTGATTGTATTCTTTATACTGTGCATTAGATCTCTGTAGCTTATTTACTACTTGTTACAAGTTTGTACCGTTAAATACCGTCACTCATATCCATCCCATCCCCTGGTAACCACCATTTTACTCTCTGTTTTTTAATAGATTTGACTTTTTTAGATTCCATATATAAGTGATATCATACTGTACTTGTATTTCTCTGATTTATCTCTCTTAGCATCATGTGCTCAAGGTCTATCCATGTTGTTGCAAATGGGAGGATATCTTCCTTTCTCATAGCTGAGTAATGCATTGTTTATGTACATGTACCACATTGTTTTTATCCATTCATCTGTTGGTGATCATTTGGGTTGTTCCCATAATCTTGGCTATTGCGAATAATGCTGTGATAAACAGAGATATGCATATATCTCATTGAAATATTTTCATTTCCTTTGGGTATATACCCAGAAGTGGAATTGATGGATCATACCTTATATGTATTTTTAACTCTTTGAGGAACCTCCATATTGTTTTCCATAGTGGTTGGACTAATTTATATTTCCAGCAGTGTGTAAGGGTTACCACATCCTTGCCAGCACCTGTGTTGTCTCTTTTCTTCTTGATGATAGCCATTCTAACAGGTGTGAGGTGGTATCTCATTGTGGTTTTGATTGGCATGTCCCTGATGATTAGCGATGTGGAGCATCTTTTCATGTGCCTTTTGACCATTTTGCTGTCTTCTTTGGAACTACTAAATAGTAGTTCTGTCCATTTTTTAATCAGATTGTTGGGCGGGGGGTTGTTTGTTTTGTTAGTTCTTTATATGTTTTGGATATTAACCGCTTATCCAGTATATGGTTCGCAAAACTTTTCTCCCATTCTGTAGGCTGCCATTGGTTGTTTCTTTTGCTATGCAGAAGCTTTTGAGTTTGATGTAATCCCATGTGTTGATTTTTGCTTTTGTTGTTTGTGCTTTTGGCATCATGTCCAAAGAATCATTGCCTGAATGGTAAAGTGTTAATTTACAGAAGAAATTATTTCTTCTGTTTGCTTTTCAACTTACTCATAGAGCTTACAAAATATTGATTCAGTTAGGAGAGCCATGCTTTGGAACCATTAAGAAGTCAGCTGCCCTCTGTATATCTACCTGGCATGTTTTTGCTTAAGTTTGTTGTATCTCCTGACTTTGATATGAGCTCTTGTAGCTTAGAGCACATACTTTCTGTTTACTCTATAATTCCCTACAGCCTCATTCAGTATTAATTCCCCAAAACCTGGCACTCTATGTTATTGAGAGATCAGTATTTTGGTACATCTAATACCCTGTGTGATCACGGCTGAGACAGATGGGCAGTCGAGTATTGTTGCCAGCAAATAAGACCTACCATCTGTTGGTGTAGTCACATGTTCAAATCCTTACCTTATTTCATTATTACATCACTGAAATAATAAAGAGAAGAAATCAATATCCTATTGGATCAAGGCTACTGATTTTTTTGAAATAAAGGTAAGATAACCTGAATACTTTGTGATATAGAGGGAATGTATGAGTATTAATCTTAAGTACATAAATTTAGAGAGGAATCAGAGAAAAGGAAACTACAGGTCTGAACAGACAGATGCCTGACAACATGGGAATGGAGCAGATATGTAGAAAAAGGTACACTGATGTTCTTGAAAAGAGTTGCTTAGTAGGGTCTGAGTAGAGAGAACTTCAGATAATGAGCATCATAAAAATATCCTCTGACCATTTACTTCTACATCTGGGACTCTAGGTTAAGGAAACACTTCCAAATTATAGAAAAATTAGTATTCATCAAGCTGTTTATCCTAACATTTATTACTATGAAGAATTAGAAACAACCACAATATGTAATTGAGGAATGGTTAAATTATGAGATTGTCATTCAGTGAAATGTTATGAATACATTAAAAATGATGACTATGAAAGCTAGTTTCATAACTAGAGAAAGGACTCTTGGAATCAATGAATTTAGAAAGCAATCCAGGCAGCATGGTTTGAATCTCCTCTTCAGTTACTAAAAAAGGCTTAAAAGTGAAATTCCTTTGTTATACACAAAAATAAATGTGCAGTTGAATTAAAATTAAAATGTGAAATCATAAAAGACCTTGAAAGAAATAAAAACAGGTTTCTATTTATAGGAACACAGAATGAGAAAGACATATGCATAAAACTAATGGCAGAAACCATGAATATTGATAGATTTGACTACATAACATTTTTTATATATCAAAAAACCAAAAGCAAAATAAAATTGAAAGGCAAAACTTGGGAATGCATCTGTAATTTGTATCACAGAGAATTAATAATTGATACTTGAAGCGATCTTACAGACAATAAGAAAAACATGAACACTCTAAGGAGAAAAAAATTGACAAGTCAGGAGTAGGCTACTCACAAAAGATCTATCAGTGGTCAAAAAGTAGGGGGAATATTCAGCTTAATAATCATCAAAGAAATAGAAATCAAACAATGGGATGCTTTTTATTCCTCTCAAATTGCAGATTTGAATAAAATGAGCTTACCCAAGGTTATTGAAGTGTCTGCCTTTGGAGAGCAGTTTGATATGTATCAAAGTCCTTTAAATTTTGTGTATAATTACCCTCTCTGTTAGGCGTAATGTTAAACAGTGGACAAGGATTATCTCCTGTAATCCTCAGAATTACCCTTTTATGTAAATGTGGTGATTTCCATTTTAATGATGGGGAAATTGAAGTACTGGAGGAATAATCCAAGGTTCTTCAAGGTCCCTTAGCTAGTTATGATGGAGCCAGAACACCAAACCCAAATGATATGTCCCCAGAGCCTGAACCAACCGTGCTTGTGTAACAATTTATTCCCTCCAAATATTTGTGTATATGTGTCCAAATATATTTATCACAGTATTTTATAAGAGCAGAAACCTTTAAAACAATTAAATGCCCAACAATCTACTCCATGAAATACGATGCAGCTATTAAAAATCATGTTGAACCAGAAATACTCATGGGAAAATGTTTGTGATACTATTAAGTGAAAAGGGTAGATTTCAAAACCATATTTATAATAAAAGAGTATAATTTTTTTTTAATATGTGTACATGAAAAGATTGGAAAGACATGCATTGAAACACTGAGAATGGTTTTTTGTTTTGTGTTTGGGGAACAGGAACGGTTTCTATTATTCTTTGAGTTTTCAAGTTTTCCTGCTTTAAACATATTTTGTAATTAATTTAAAATACTAACTAATGAAAGAAAGACGAACTTTCCTCCAGAAGGATACCTTTAGAGTCCCACTGCCTGGATTGTGAGAAATAGAACTTAGGAACGATTATTTATCTTGCAAGAAGATTCTTGGGTATCTAAAAAAATTTTACTGTGCAGCCTTTAAAATAGCAACCTTAAGTGCATAACAGTGGAGCACGTGGGTCCTTAACATGTCTGTATGTTCCAAATGCCTTACTTTCTGCATTAAATTTCAATTTTAGTATAATATTTATGTATCACTTTGATATGATTTTTCTAACCAATGTTCTAGACAAACTGATAGAAGAAACGAAGGGCCTGGTGCTCCCACACCAATAAGGCACTTTATTACACTGCCTTTAATGATCAACTCTCATATAACTTGATAATACTAAAATGAAACTCATTGAAGGGGGGTGGGGACATCCTGTATTACTCACATAAGTACTTGGAGCCTTGCAATAACACTTAGCGGAAGGAATGGGAACTGTAACAAGAATTCCCAAATCGGGCTGCCAGCCCTCGAGGGTGGATCAGCTACTGACTCCTTCACTGCCACTCTGCCTTCCCTGGCACTATGCCAGGCTCCCTAATTCTTTCCCGTGGTAAAGACTTCAGGAAGCTAACGTTTCAACTTTTTAACCTGTTGTTTCCTATTCTCTTTAGATTGGTGGTGTGCTTAGCTCAAAAACTGCCTAGTTCAAAAAAACTGACTGGTGTTTTTATATTTATTATGATAGAAATGGAGAAGTGGACCATCAGTTTTCATATTAGTTTTAGCTTACCGAACACTGAGTTTGGAAGGTTAAGTTTTAGTACAGAGTGAACATCGTGTTCTCTTGGTGCCCAAGTGTGTTTTTATCATTGTGTCTGTGAACAGGTTCCTGGCATAAATTTACCCGTCAACCAACTGACCTATTTCTTCGCTGCAGTCCTCATTAGTGGTGTTGTACATGAAATTGGACATGGGATAGCAGCTATTAGGTAATGATATTTACCTCTCTCTCTATATTCCATGCAAAGAAGCTTTTCATTTAGGAGTATTTATTACTAAAATCTGCTACATTTGATACTTTTTCTTTCTTTGGATACTGCCCAGTGCATATCCACCATTCTTATTTTAAGGTAACTTCTCTTTTGTAGAGATTAATATATTGATGAATATGCTCAATTAACTATGTGCACATCTATAATCTGGGTCTTTCTATCCTTTGTCCTTTGCCAGCATGGTTATATCCTCATGGTTCTTCACTATTTTCATCCAATCCTGAAACCTAATCTTTCTATTCATCACTGGATCAGAATGATAACCACTGCACTCAAATCAAAGCCCATCCACCTGCCTTCTTAGTACTTTCTTTGGCTCATCATCTGAAATACTTTCCTGCTTCTACTCATGGCCTCTGCTGGCTACAGCAAGAACACTGAAAGCTCTGGGTTTGTTAACAAATATTATAGCCTATCTAGAAATCCAAGTGGAAGAAGATAAGGGAGGATGAGACCTGGGACTTGCTTCAAGTATCATGCCATGTTCTTGTCTTGACTATCCAAATGTATCATTGTAATTATACCTGAGCATTTTAAAGACTCCTAAATGTGTAAAATCCTGATGTGGGGAGAGATTGAGTCACAACTCCCCTTCACTCCCACATAATGAACACACATACTGATGGCAATGTGTTTCATCCTTTGGGTGTGTGGACCAGATAAAAGGCTTTAGAGGAGAAGATTTAATCACTTCTTATTACTTTCCAGTTGCTTATGAACAAGAGTCTATTGACTGGCAATAAACCCTCATCTTGACAGAGCATATACTGTTACACAGGTGTGCCATGTGGTGGTTTAAGTGGTCGGCTACTTTTTTCTTTTCTCTCTTTCATCTTTACTTCCACCTTAACTTTGCAGCTTTTAGGGTTTTACATAGAAAAGCATTGTTATTACAATTTAATCATTCATAATATGTTTGTGAAATAGTTTGGGTAATATTTTATAAAATCCCACTGCCAAGAAAAAGTGAATTTTACAGTCATCTTATATAGTTAATGCTAGGTGACAGCACAATATATTTAGATGATGCTTTTTTTAGAGTAGCTGTGTGGTCTTACGAGGCTTTTAAATGTAATTCCAGTTTTAGAGAATGAATTGATAAAAAATAGTTCTCTTGAGGACAGTCTGAGCATTATGCATTTTTAAATGCAGTACTTATTTTTAACATTAATTCAACAGGAATACACTTAGATAAACCTCCACCTTTATAATGGCTAAGAGAAATATAAATATTTAGATAATTTACTTGAATTCTATTTTCTACTATCTCCTTCCCTGAAAATAATTCAGAATAAACCATAAAAATGTTTTTCATTTAGTTTCTCATAGAAATATTAACTATTTCTTTATACAAGTGACTAATTTTAAGTTATTTGCTCAGCATATTGGTTTCTAAAAATTTTTGAAGTTGTTAAGTCTATTTCAGAATGCCCTGTTTTACAAAATGCAATTCCACTGGTAACTAAATCTGTATGCTATTATAAAATTATGATGATATATATCATATGTAATTTTTTGACTCTTCAGAGAGACTTGTATTTTAAGCAAGAATTTGAATTACAGTGGGAAGTTTTAAGATTACATGCATTATTAATCTGAAAAATGCAATACTAGTAGTAAATTCCTTTTTCTTATGTGATTTCTTAGGGAACAAGTTCGATTTAATGGCTTTGGGATTTTTCTCTTCATTATTTATCCTGGAGCATTTGTTGATCTGTTCACCACTCATTTGCAACTTATATCACCAGTCCAGCAGCTAAGGATATTTTGCGCAGGTAAAAGACTTAAATTTCTTTATTCATCTGTGTGTTATTAGTGGTTTTATGGAAAGTACATCACAACTGAAAACACCTCACCTTTTGGTTGATAAATTCAGTTTATAAGACTCTCAGTCAGGGCTTCCCTGGTGGCGCAGTGCTTAAGAATCCGCCTGCCAATGCAGGGGACACGGGTTCAAGCCCTGGTCCGGGAAGATCCCACGTGCCACGGAGCAACTAAGCTCGTGCGCCACAACTACTGAGCCTGTGCTCTAGAGCCCGCGAGCCACAACTACTGAGCCTGTGTGCCACAACTACTGAAGCCCACACACCTAGAGCCCATGCTCCACAACAAGAGAAGCCACCGCATTGAGAAGCCCACGCATCGCAACGAAGAGTAGCCCCCGCTCGCCACAACTAGAGAACACCCGTGCACAGCAACAAAGACCCAACGCAGCCAAAAGTAAATACATAAATAAGTAAATTTTTTTAAAAAACACTCTCAGTCAGAAGTGGTAGAGCAAAATAATTTACATTCCAGTTTTTTTCATTTTTTTAACATGAATTATTTTTAAAAGATTGAAAAAATGAGAACATATCATGAAAATATGACTAAAGCATTAAATTAGACATAGGAGATCACTTGATAATCATAAGGAGTGTAATCCACAATGGAAATGTAATCGTGAGTCTTACTGAATAAAGTAACACATCATCAAAACAAAAATGGGAAAAGTACAAGGAAAAAACAGAAATGTAATAAGGGAGGCTTATCTCATCTCTCAACACATAGCAGGTTAAGTATGAAAAAGTTTCAATCATCAAAGCTCTAATTAGCAAGGTCAAAATCAACAGTTATGTCAAATCCTATACCATGACAATTTCTTTTCAAGTGCCCATGAAACTTATAAAAATTGGCCAATTTAATTCAAAACCATAATTGCAGTATGTTTAAAAATGATAATGAAATAATGTGTAAGGTTTTGCTAAAAGGAAAAGTCACTGCCTTAGGCAATTATTATGAAATAAGAAATTAAAGTAAATCAGTTAAACTGAGGAAGTGAGAAAAGAACTATAAAATAGGTAAGAAATGATGTAATTAGCATGCATATAGGCAAAAAATAATAAATTAGAAAAAATAGAACTGTTAAATAAAAGAGTTCTTTGAAGAAAAAAAAGATTAAATGGGAGAAAGCATTATAGACAGAATTAGCAGTCAGATTGGGGAATGACAACTGATAGAGAAATTTTAAACAATTATAAAAGTGTTCTTTGTTCATCTCTGCAAAAAATTTTCACAAACCTGGATAATTATCTTTTTTTTTAAACAGCCGAAATTAACCCCAGTGGAGACAGAAAAAAAAATATAAATAGGCTAATTACCATGGGAGAAATTAAGAAAGTTTAAGAGTGGTCCTGAAAGTTTCATAGGTAGAATTCTTTCAAGTCTTGAAGGAATCTTGAAGGAAAAAATTTTTCGTTTCAATTCCAATTTAGTATAAACTTTCCAGGTCACATAGAGAAGGAAACTAAGAATTTTTTAAAAGTCAGTGTACCACTGATACTTGTAAAGCACAAAAAAATTCTACAGACGGTTGGTGTATCTAAACAGTGCAAGGATGGCTTAAAATTAGGAAATCTGATTTGAATGTGGTAAACATTAATTACTCTTAAGAGAAAAATATCCTCATCTCAGCAGATATTGAAGTCGGTATTTAACAAAAGTCAACATCCATTAATGGCTAAAACCCAAAAATCTTTAGTAGAAGTACTAAACAGAAATAGCTGGTTACTTCCTAATGGTATAACACTTAGAAGCATTCCTATTAACGGGCAGGACAAGCATTCCACTGATACTGTTAAAAATGGCCTGTAAATGTGGGTCAGTGCAATCGAATAAGAAAAAAAAGAAGCATAAGTATTAGAAAGGAGTAGGCCTTCCCCGCCCATACTATTATATACCTGGCGGGGGGAGGGGGAGGGACAAAAAAGTCAATGGAAATGAAATACAGAAAAATTCTGTAGAGCCTGGTTGCTGTATTCAAAAAAAACAATAGCTTGGCGCGCTGAGCAAAGAGGCACGCAGTGGCAGGAGAGCTGGCGCACGCACGTGTGTGAGCGTGGGCATGAGCATGGTCCTGCACTCTGCTGGGGTGCCCCAGCTTAGAAGCGCATGTGCGGGGTGCCCCAAAGCACATGTGCGGGGCAGGGTGGGGGGGAGTGCTCCAAAGCGCATGTGCAGGGTGCCCAAAGCGCATGTGCCGGTGGTGCCCCAAAGCGCATGTGCAGGGGGAGTGCTCCAAAGCGCATGTGCAGGGTGCCCAAAGCGCATGTGCGGGGAGGGGGTGGTGCCGCAAAGCGCGTGTGCGGGGTGACGCAAAGCGTGTGTGTGGGGTGACGTAAAGCGCATGTACGGTGGGGGGTGTGCCCCAAAGCGAACGTGTGAGGCGGGTCCAGAAGCTTCCACGTCGTCTGCGTTTTCCGCGTCCCGCACCGGAACCGCCCTCTCTTTCCTCTGGAGCTCGGGCTTTTCTCTCACAGCCTTTCTTTTCCGCGGCCGTCTTGTCGTTCGTTCGCTGCCCAGTAGCCAAAGCCTCAGAAGAGCCCTCGGCCATGGCCTCAAACAACATTTTCTACATCATGACAGAAAACTCGGAGATGTACGCAGATGCTGTGGAGCTGCACCAGATCCCTGTGGAGACCGTCCCTGTGGAGACCGTCCCTGTGGAGACCGTCCCTGTGGAGACTGTCCCTGTGGAGACCGTCCCTGTGGAGACCGTCCCTGTGGAGACCGTCCCTGTGGAGACAATGGCGGTTGAGGCAGCCAAGGAGTACGAAGACATCAGCGGCAGCTGTGTCCACGATGGCCACCACCATACGTCTCTGCTCGTGCTGCAGCCTCTCATTATCAGCACCCCAAACCAAGGGGACTGCAACAAGGAAATGATCATGATGCAGATGCAGGAGGAGGTGATGGGCTACTACCGGTCTGAAGACCTGCAGGTCACCAACCTGGAGAACAAGACGGCCATCCTGGCCGACGAAAACAACTGCTTCCAGGAGACCCTGGCTCCCTTGTCACCACCCTCCACGTCCTCCTCGGCCTACAGCCACAGCAGGAAGGACAGTGGCCAAGGCACAAAGCCCAGCGATAAGAATAGTTACGCCGGCGGCAAGGCCAGGGCGGCAAGCAGCTCCGAGGTGGGCAGCGAGAAGTGGGAGCAGGAGCAGGTGCACGTCAAATCCCTGGAAGGCGTGTTCGCCGTCACCACGTGCTCCACGTGCGATGAGAGAGGCCACGAGACTAGACAGGCTGCTGAGAAACGAACTCTTGGTTATTCAGAGTACCTGACGGGGAAGAAGCTGCCTCCTGGAGGAATTCCTGGCCTTGACCTCTCAGATCCCAAACAAGTGGCAGAATTTACTAGAAAGAAGCCCCAGAAAACCAAAGAAGAGCCCCCGAAATCAATAGCTTGCCCTAGCAAAGGCTGCATGAAGATGTTCAGGGATAAGTCTGCTTTGAGAAAGCATCTGCACACCCATGGTCCCAGAGTCCACGTATGTGCAGAATGTGGCAAAGCTTTTGTTGAGAGCTCAAAACTGAAACGTCATCAACTGGTGCATACGGGAGAGAAGCCCTTTCAGTGCACCTTCGAAGGCTGCGGAAAAAGCTTTTCCCTGGATTTCAATTTGCGTACCCATGTGCGAATCCATACCGGAGAGAGGCCCTTCATATGCCCCTTCAATTACTGTAATAAGACATTTACTCAGTCAGCTAACCTGAAAACTCATATCTTAGCACATGCTAAGAATAAAGATAGACAGTAAAAAGGAGAGAAGAAACTTCTCAGGCTCGGAAAGCATCTTCCAATAATGTGATGGGAAATAAATATGCCTCTTTTTTGTGTACTGTTTCTAGAAAAGAATTTTTTTAATGACTCTAACACGTCTAAGGGTCAGGTTTTGATAGGTTAGTAAAAGTAAAATTTAAAAGATAAAAAAAGTAATTCTTTATATAAGATAACATTGTTAAGATGTTCTGTCTTGTTCTGTAATACAGTTTGAAAAACGTTATGTTTTTGTAACATTTGGTCACAAAAGGACAATTCATGAAGCTCACATCAAAAGACTGTTGTTTATACAACTGTGCTAAAAATGGGACTTTTCACATTCTTTTAAATATCAAGTTCGTCTATTTATGATTTTAAAGTTACGGATTTTCTAAATGTTCACATTTATACTTTTAAGAATACGTTTAGTAGTTCTATATATGGTTTTTCTGCAAGTAGATAACGTTGGAGATTTTCTTTAAAAGAAGGACAGTTACATGCATCTATAAAGTATTTTCCTGTTTAAAAAAGTTATATAGGTTTAGTTTGCCATCTTAATTTTGGTTGTATTCTTTGACATTAACACATTTTGCATAACTACCTTTTAGATGCACTGGATTGTGTAGTATTCAATATTGGATGGGATGTAGTAGTCGATTTAAACCTGTTTTAGTCTTTTTATTTTCCCCCAAATACTACCAGGTGCTGTCTTTTAGTGTCATTTCTTTGCCTGTTTAGTTAAGGAGTGGTGCTCAGTTGTGGAATATGTTGTGTGTGTATTGACTTTTTAATACTTGGTACATACATCCCTTGTAATAGAAAAAGCAAAAAATAAAATACCTGTTCTAAAGAAAGAAAAAAACTTGCCTATATAAATGTTGTACCTAGAAAATAGAGAAAACAGGGAGGGTACGACTGGCATCTGGTGGGTAGAGGCCAGGGATGCTGCTAAACATTTTACAGTGCACAAGATAGTCCCCCACAACAAAAAATTATCTGGCCCAGAATGCCAGTAGTGCCACTGTTGAGAAACCCTGCTCTAGAGAAAGTAAAAATTGTAACAAAAATTTGTTTGGTATACTCAAAAAGCAAATCATTAATGAACAAGAGATTGTTTAAATAAAGGAAATAAAGGTACCTGCATTGCAATTTAGCCATCATGGGCAAATCTGGAATCCAACAGGGTGGTCTGGTACCAGCTGCATCCCTGACAAGAGATAGGAGAGTCCAGCCCAGAGAGTCAAAGAAGCAGTGCTGCTGTGTGCCCCTCTGACTGTTGCTTGGATGAGAAAAGCCAGGGTCGTATGGTGGTGTCATCCTGATAAGGGAGAGGTCGGGTGCAAGCTTTTAGGCCCTCCTGAGGGGTTAAGGGGAAAGTTGAATTTAGCACATGGTAATGGTGGCAAATATAATCAATGGGGCTGGATTATTTTGTGAAATTGTCTTGGGACTAGCAACAGGGTGGTGGGGTGGTATAGCTGTATTCCTAATTAGTTTCACTAGAGTAAATTCCAGTGGGTCAAAGAATTAGAGATTTTTTCTGTTTGTTTTAATTTTGTTTTTTAAATGATGCTAGGGACTTCCCTGACCATCCAGTGGTTAAGACTGTGCTTCCACTGCAGGGGGCATGGGCTCAATCCCTGGTGGGGGAACTAAGAACCCGCATGCCTCGAGTGAAAATTAAAAAAAAAAAAAAACCTATGAAAACAATACAAGAAAACACAGGTGAGTGTCTTCTGTAGTCTTGAACTGGGAAAGGCTTAATACAAAAGGAGACATTTGACCTCACCAAAATTTAAAATGTCTGCATAGGCAAAACTATAAACCAAGCCAAACAAACTGGAGGAAATGATTATAATACCTCGTACAGAAGAACAAATTCCTCAGTGTATGTATTACAAATAATAATATATATAAATTAGTTTAAGAAAAAAAAGACAACCCAGTCAAAAAATGTAAACTGATAGTGGATAGAAGTAAGCAATTCTCAGACAAAAATACAAATAACCATTTAATAAGCATGAAAAATGTACAAGCTCACTCATCATTAAAGAAATAGAAATCAGAATGAGATTTTACCTTTCACCTAGCAGATGGCAGTCTAAAGTTATGATAGCATCCCATCCAGTATTGTTCAGAGGGTGGGGAAACATATGCCACTTAGAATATAATGCAAACTTGTTGGAGGTCAGTTTTAATGCATGTATTTTTTGACCCAATAATTCCATTTCTGTGCAATTTTCCATACCCTCAGATGCATTCTTAATTAGATGCATAACAATATGAGCAAAGCTGTTTGTTGCAGCATTGTATGAAAAAGTTAAAACAGCCTAAGTGATCATTAGGAGGGAACCTTATAAATAAGTCAATGTTTTTTTTTGAAATGGATTACTCTAGTGGATATAAGAAGTGGGTTAGATATGAATGTGCAGGTGAGGAAGAAGTCGAAAATATATAAATGAAAAAGCAAAATATAGTTTGTGATAAATAGCTTGATACCATTAGTGTTTTTAAAAGATCTTTCTGGGGCTTCCCTGGTGGCACGGTGGTTGAGAGTCCGCCTGCCGATGCAGGGGACACGGGTTCGTGCCCCGGTCTGGGAGGATCCCACATGCCGCGGAGCGGCTGGGCCCGTGAGCCATGGCCGCTGGGCCTGCGCGTCCAGAGCCTGTGCTCCATGGCGGGAGAGGTCACATCAGTGGGGGGCCCGCGTACCGAAAAAAAAAAAAAAAAAAGATCTTGCTGTGTGCAAAACAGAAAATATTGTTTACCCAATATGTCCTGGACTAGAGGAACATTTTACATTGTGAATATGATCCATATTAGCTAGGTATCTGGCTGCTGTAAAAGCTAAAAATAGTAGTGACTTAAACTCTCATAAAACATTGCAAATGTAAGTAGTTCAATGCTGATATGATAATTCTATGATTTGAGGGACTCAGACTCTTTCTGTCTTAGCTCTACTATTCCCAACATGCAGCTTCTGCGTCATGGACTCAGGTTTAGCTCCATCATAGCTACATTCCAGCCAGTAAGACAATCCCCATCACTTCCACTTGCATCCTTTTGCCGAAACAGTCATATGGCCATACTCAGCCTCCTGAGAGTCTGGGAGATGTCTTTTAAGTTATGTTTCTATCATTATAGAACACTGGTCCTCAACCACTGGTGCTATCACCCTCCTGGGGATATTTGGAATGTGTGGGGTGAGGGCAGTTGTTTGCTTGTCTCAGTGACTGGAGAACACTAATGACTTTCAGAGGATGGAGTCGGGAATGCTATATGTCCTGTATTGTAAAGGACAAGACCTGCACAACTAAGAATCACACTGCTCAGAGAGTGGGTAGTGCTTCCACCCTGCCTTATGAGAAAAACTGTACTAGAGGGCAAGGATCGGTATGGGAGGGGGGGTAATCTAGAGGTATGCTAGTGAATGTTTAACATCTAGCCCTGGAGGAGAGGGTGGAGAGCTCTGATATGTAGCATTTGCTGGTTTCTGTGGTGTAAATACTCCCACCGTGGCCAATTTCAAAGCGCCAACTTGAAGTTCCTGAAGGAGGAGTTGGTTAAAGAGGCCCGGTCAGCTGTGGCAAGCTGGTAGGAACAGGCTCCAGCACACCACTGGGTTCACCTAACCATCTCTTCAGAGATGGCAGAGATAGTTATAGTCTTGATGTAAGATACATACCCCAGTTCAGCAAGAATGTTTTTTACTTCATCATAACTTTTATTTGATAGCTCTGAAGTTCCTTTCAAAGATCACAAGTATGTTTTTTTTTCACAACTATGTTTAAATTAATATGTATACATTTTCTGAGAAAAGAGTAGTAAGTAGAAGATATTCTATTCATTATATACACACACACCTTCACATATATAATAGAGGTATATATGTAATCGAATATAGATTCTAATAGTGTTAAATCATATTAGCATGTGGTCTTCCTAGTATTGTATTAACATGCTCATTTTAGATTTTAATATCTGAAATGGAAGAAACCTCTAACTGAACATCTGTCTTCTGAACTAATAAGTAGATCTGTCTGCCTCACAGCTTCTTCTGGTTACTTTACTAATTTATCAGAATGCCTAAGTATTATGAAGTACAACTACCTGGAATGATATCATTCCTGCCCCTGGTTGAGCTTATTCCTTTTTTTCCCTCTTTTCAGGTATCTGGCATAATTTCGTCCTTGCACTCCTGGGTATTTTAGCTCTTGTTCTCCTTCCTGTAATTCTCTTGCCGTTTTACTACACTGGAGTCGGGGTGCTTATCACTGAAGTTGCTGAGGTAAATAACAGATTACTTGGGGTATTTTTTCGCCAGATTTTGTGATGTAACACTTAGCATTTTATGTCAGGAACTTTTTTTTTTTTTAAGGAACTTTTATTCAAACTGTTCTCATGTACAGAATGCTCAGTTTCTCCTGAAGAAATTACTGTAATCCTTTCAAATCAAAGAAATAGTTTTGTGAACTACATTGGCTCTTTTAAAATACTGAAAATTGTTTCTGTTCTGAGTTACAAGGATAGTATCAAGACTTTCTAACTGTAGTTTGATTAAATGCATCATTTACCTTTACTGTTTATTTTTATAACTCTGCTTTTGAGTCAGATGTCTTTACTCCTAAGAAGTAAGAAAGATGGAACCTAGGCTAGCCAGCAGAACATTTCGTGGGAGTTTAAATTAATGTCTTCAACTCTGTATTTCACTCCCTTAGACTACTATGATGGTATCAAGTCTTCTCTTCACACTTTGGGACAAGGAAAATTACCTTGTGAGCAACTGCCTCATGTACTCATGTGTTCATTGTGCTGACGGTATTGTCTGCATATTTGGGACTGTGTTTAGATAAGTCTTATAATTTTATCCATTGATGATATAGGACATTGAAAGCATTCTGATGACTACTTTCACAAAAAATTTTAATTAGCGGTTTGGGAAAAAGTTTATCATTTTAATCTTAACTGTTGGCAAGTGGGGTTTGTTTGGTTTTCATTTGTGAAAAATTCAAAATTTTAGTGAAATATGAAAAGTATAATTATTGGGTGTTATTTTGTTAATTTTCTAGGACTATACATCTTGGATTCAAAGCTGGATTATTTTCTACATTATTCAAAATAGTCTACTTAATTAAGTCAGTGTCTTTATTATTTGCTCAGATTAATCATAGCTTGTCTTCACACATTATCTGATTTAATTCTGCCCTCTTCCCAAGGACTCACCTGCCATTGGACCCAGAGGCCTTTTTGTGGGAGACCTTGTCACCCATCTACAGGATTGTCCTGTTACAAATGTACAAGATTGGAATGAATGTCTCGATACCATCGCCTATGAGCCCCAAATTGGTTACTGTATAAGTGCATCAACTTTACAGCAGTTAAGCTTCCCAGTTAGAGGTGTGTATATCTCCTCAGTATAATATAATGCTTCAAGCAGCAGTACTTGCCATTTGCTAATTCTTAGATCATGTCTGTAGATTTATTTTGTCCTAACTTATTTAAAACAAATCAGTAAAGTAATAATAAGCCTAAACTAGTAAACATTCTTCTTGGTAAGTTAGATACTAATATGTATGTTTTGTTTATTATATATTGTTGTTGAACTTCTAACTAATTTCATATTTGATTTTCAGAACTCTAGTATCTAATTCTTTCAGCATTTAAAAAACACTTGTGTTAAGTCAGCATTCAAGCTCAAACATAACCAATTAACTAAATTCCAGCAATTAAATACCCTTGTGCTGTATGGATGGTGGCATGTCCAAAGCTGTTTGGGGTAGGGTTTTTTTGTGTGGCAGTCATCCAGAGGAAGTCATCTTGGTGTCCGAAAATACCCACTGAAGTCACATCTGTTGTTCTGTGTCGTAGGCGACAGGGTGAAGCAAGTGTATTCTCAGAAGCTTCCAAATTTATTTTTAGCTCTTCCAGCTCTGAAAAACCAGTCTGCCAACTCTTCATACAAAATTATGGGGACCCAAATTATTGAAAGTGCTGGAAAGCACAAATTATGCTCACAGACTACATCTTTAAGTCAAGAAATGCCTGGATACTTGTCTACATCTACTGGGGTTAAGAAATATGATTAATTATCAAGAATAACTGTATTAAAGTACTGTGTACAACAGTGACAAAGTAGTAAGAACTGATTTAAAATTTTTTTCAAATGTAGTCTTCCATGTATAACCCATTTTTAAGAATTTTTTTTATTGTAAACATTTTTCAAACATACATAAATGTCAAGAGAGTAGTACAGGGAATTCCTTGGTGGTCCAGTGGTTAGGACTCCACGCTTTCACTGCTGAAGGCATGGGTTCAGTCCCTAGTCGGGGAACGAAGATCCCACAAGTCATACAGCACGGCCCAAAAAAAAAAAAAAAAAGAGAGAGAGAGTAGTATAAATGAAACCTCATGTATCCTTCTCCTAGCTTCAGCAATTATCAACATTTTGCCATTTTTTTTATCCAGCCTGTCCACTTTTGAGGGAAGTATTTTAAAGCACATCCCAGGTATCCTGTCATTTTATCCATAAACTTCAGCATATCTTTAATAGATGATGACCTTTTAGACATGACCACAGTACTATTATCACACCTAACAAAATTAACAATAATTCCTAATACCTGCACTCTTCTCTGGTTTTGTTTTTATAGTTGGTTTAAGTTGGATGGTATGCCTTTTAAGTCTCTTTTAAGTTGTAACAATTCCCCCTGACTTTTTATTTTTAATATCATTTATTGAAGAAACTGAGTCATTTGTTTTGTCAAATTTATCATTAACATGTTCGGTATCCCCCAAATTTCCTATAGATGGTAGTTAGGTCCAGAGGCTTGATTAGATTCAGGATCCATTTTTGGCAGGGGCAGAAATACCTCGTAGGTAGCACTCAGTACTTCATATTGCATCTCATGTTTTTCCATGTATCGCATCTTTTCAGTTGGGTGTGTAATCCACAGTGTGTTCTTCTGTAAGAGAAATAATCCATAATTTCATACTTCTTAAGTCCTTTATCATTTTCCTCAAGTTTCTCTAAACTTGGTACAATCTGTATTGAATTACAAAAGCCAAAATGACATCGTAATCAAATAAAGCTCTCTCCAGTAGGATTGTTTTATTTAGAATATCTGCATTTCAGATGTTTAAGCTTTTGTCTTTTTTCAGGCAGACAGAATGGAAGTGAAATTTTTCTTGAAATACTCTGAAACTCTTCCCTTATTAACTTTTTGAGTATTTCACTATTATGGATCATATGCTATATTTTGGAGGTATTTGTTTAAAAACCCAAAGCAGATATTACTCTTCCCACACTAATAAAAAAATCAATCCCAAAATAATAATTCTTCAATATATGTCTCATTTCCTTAGGAGCGACTGTATTAGGATACTTGCTGATTTTACATGATGACTGTATCTGATAAACCCGTACCTCCATTTAATCATTTTTAAATGGAGTACATATACTCAGCCAGACTGTAGAAATCTTAATGACTGTAAATGTAACTTAAAATATATACTAGATTTTTTTTTTTTTTTTTTTTTTTTTTTTTTTTTTTTGCGGTACGTGGGCCTCTTACTGTTGTGGCCTCTCCCGTTGCAGAGCAACAGGCTCCGGACGCGCAGGGTCAGCGGCCATGGCTCACGGGCGCAGCTGCTCTGCGGCATGTGGGATCTTCCCGGACGGGGGCACGAAGCCGTGTCCCCTGCATCGGCAAGCGAACTCTCAACCACTGCGCCACCAGGGAAGCCCTACTAGATTAATTTTAATGGCAGACTTGACCAAAGTGGCTATGGACATTTAAGAAAACTACGGGGCTTCCCTGGTGGCGCAGTGGTTGAGAGTCCGCCTGCCGATGCACGGGACACGGGTTCGTGCCCCGGTCCGGGAAGATCCCACATGCCCGTGAGCCATGGCCGCTGAGCCTGCGTGTCCGGAGCCTGTGCTCCGCAATGGGAGAGGCCACAACAGTGAGAGGCCCGCGTACCACAAAAAAAAAAAAAAAAAAAAAAAACAAGAAAACTATGGATTGATATTATTTTACATGTATCTAGGGACTTTTGTTATCCTACATTATGAGTAGATGGCAAAGATATAGCCAAATATGGTAATGCAAAGTAGCTCATAATCCAAAAGTGATTCATATTCAATTTAGAGTAGAATTCAATATACATAATTCAAATTCTGAAAATTTATACCACTTGAAAACAATAAAGCCACCTTAGAAAGATCTGACCCTGAAAGTGCTCATAAGCTGTCCCAGCCAATCATTTCTGGCCTCATTTCATACCCTGACTCTCCCAGGTGTAATTTTAAATTTTTAAAGATATTCCCTAAGATATTAATTAATTACGGTATTAATTAAGCAGACTAGATGTTCTCCTTAAAATATTAACAGGTATATTTCTGGCAAATTAGAAAAATGTGGTTAATCAACATGAAATGACTATTCATTTTATGAAATTGTTGGGAACTATTTTTTCTTCTGTCAGTCCTTTCGTTTTTGATTTTTAAACATTAACCTGCTAAACTATGAGCAGCACCAACAGAACCAAGGCTGGTTTAATTACACCTCTGCCCTTGGTACATGGGGCAAGAAGCCTAAGGAGCTTGTCCCACACACTCCTTGCAGATTGAATGGCCTTTCCAGGAAGCCCCAAAAAGGACACTGGGTGAGGCTTAGAGCCCTTTGTACCTGGAATAAATCTCTGGTTTCATTCTGCATCAGAACAGAACAAAGTTCCCCTCTTCATATTCAAGCCTCTGCTTAATTTAAGATTGCTCTGTGTCCATATGCCACTTAGTGATTTGAATGAAACTAAAAGTTACAGACAAGAACTAGTTTGTTTCTTTTTGGGGATTATTTTCTAACAAGTAGCTTGCATCCTCTTTCTTTAGTTTCAGGAGACACTCTTCATATATGCCTAAAGCTAAATTCCTTTTTTTCTTTCTTGGAAGCATTGTCTTGAATAAGAAAGACTACTAAGTCCAGCATTTGAATGGCATTTTAAAAAGAGTGAGATTGAATACTAAAGGCAACCGCTCCCTAAAATGAAGCTATGAGTCCAGACACAGGCATCCCCTTTGAATAGCCTATATTCCTGTTCAGAGGAGATGAGGGTATATACCTGTAACTGCCTGGCACAGGGAGTATTGTCCTATCTTATGCATCTTTAACTGAAGTGAGAAAAGGCCGTTCCTGACTTAGTTTAAAATAGTAAAAGGAAAACTCTGGAAATCTTTTCCACATAGTTTGAGTACCCAGATTGTTCTTGTGCTCAAATCTTCTCTAATGTTTAGAAAAAAGTGTCTGTTCTCCCATTGTGAATATCAAGGTATCATCCAAGGTTTCTTTGCTCTCACCAATTGAAGAGAGAGAGAGAGTTTATAATTTTTTAACTACTTGGTACTAGGTGGTGCTGGTATAAATTCTACCATAGAACTAAGAATAAAGGGACTTCCCTGGTGGCGCAGTGGTTAAGAATCTGCCTGCCAGTGGAGGGGACATGGGTTCAATCCCTGGTCCGGGAAGATCCCACATGCCGCGGAGCAGCTAAGCCCGTGCGCCCCAACTACTGAGCCTGTGCTCTAGAGCCCGCGAGCCATAACTACTGAAGCCCGCGTGCCTAGAGCCGGTGCTCCACAACAAGAGAAGCCACTGCAATGAGAAGCCTGCGCACCGCAACGAAGAGTAGCCCCCACTCGCCACAAAAGCCCGCGCACAGCAATGAAGACCCAATGCAGCCATAAGTAAATAAATAAATAAATAAATAAATAGAATAAATAGGTTTGCATGCCTATATTGGAACTCTAGTTACATTTATATATTTATTAAACTAGGGTAAGAAAATTGTTCAATTCATTTTAGTGATGTAAAAAGTAGTGAGTACTGTGAACTATAGATTGAAAAAGTCTCTTCCTTCCAGCCTTATTCCAAAATTACCTCTGGTCTAGACCGTCCTTTGAAGACTAGACTATTTCTACAAGTATCTTAGGGCCCATCTTAGGGTACATTCAGAATATGCAGGTTCTCCTTGTAATGGAATTATGAAACTGTTCTGGTCTTAATTTCCCTAATTCTTTCCCAGTCTGGGGAGATTTAAGGGAGAATTCTAATTTCCTAGAGTTAAACTGAAGCCATGAATGCCTCTGGGACCTCCCATTGCAGTCTTTTTTTTTTTTTTTTTTTTTTTTTTTGCGGTACGTGGGCCTCTCACTGTTGTGGCCTCTCCTGTTGCGGAGCACAGGCTTCGGACGTGCAGGCTCAGCGGCCATGGCTCACGGGCCTAGCCTCTCCACGGCATGTGGGATCCTCCCAGACCGGGGCACGAACCCGTGTCCCCTGCATCGGCAGGCGGACTCCCAACCACTGCGCCACCAGGGAAGCCCTCCCATTGCAGTCTTGAATGTGCCTTCCAAAGTAGAATTGGATTGGTCTCTCATGTTGATAGCAGTATACTAATGTGAAAATTACCTCTGGCATACCCGTCTTATAGGTTAAGAATTGAGTCACAGAAATTAAGTGACTTGTCCTTTAATGTGATCCAGTAGAAAAGATTCTAAAATAAAATACATTTTTAAATGTACAACTTTTTTTAAATTGATAAACAGAGAAATATCAAGTTTACTTCTCACATGATAACAAAATAATGGGAAATTCTGTATGTCAGGAGGCACTTCATTTTGTCATGGTAGCCATAGCCATCAGTTTATGTTTTAATTGGATTAATCACCATAGGAAGAAGCCATAACCTAGAGGTCACAAATTGGTGGTAACCTAGAGGCCAAATCCAGCCAGCCTTGACAGATGTGTATGGTTTGGCTTGCACAATATTTTTAAAATTCTTAATTGGCTGCCAATATTTAAGAGGTTTCGGGACTTCCCTGGTGGTCCAGTGGTTAAGACTCCACTGCAGGGGGCACGGGTTCAATCCCTGGTCGGGGAACTAAGTTCCCGCATGCTGCACAGCACGGCCAAAAAAGAAAAAAGAAAAGGTTTCACATGAGGGTCCAGACTTCTTTCTCATGGAATAAAATAGATGATCTCTTGACTCTCGGCCCCAAGTTGAGTGGCCTAGAACAAGGTATGTATTCTCTAATTCATCACAACCCCCACCATTTCCTATTTTTTCCACACACTATCCACTTCATTTATTTGATACCTGCTTGGCCCCTTTAAGCTGTTGTATTATCAGACATGCTATATCAACAGTGATATCAAATTCTTGACTTTTCAATTCTGTGTTGCATACATTCCTCCAGGAAAAAATAAGAATCAAGCATCAGATGTAAATTTTTAAAAATCATTACTGATACAAAGGCAAGTGGCATAGAACACCATTTATGTATTCAGTGCATATTGAGTTATTCACCTTATATAAGATACTGAGAAACTTTTCCCTCAAAGACCTCACAGTCTAATCAAAGAATTAGACCATGCCCACATTACGGTACAAGGTTAAATATAATTAATGACAAAAAGTATTGGGAGTTGTGAGAGTTGATGGCAGTCAGTCTTGACTGAAAAGATGAGGACAGGCTTCATAGCAGCAGCTCTTGAGCTGGGCCTCAACAGTGAGTTTAATTTCAGGAGACCGATATAAATGAACCTCGGCGCCACAGACTAGAAGTTGGTCAGGGAACTGCTAATAATTTGGTTCAGCAAGAGAAGAGTATGAGCTAAGGTGACTAAAAAAAAAAGTAGAAGTCTTTATGTTTTAGGCTATGGCATTTAGACTGTTTGGGAGCAGCACAGAGTCTTTGGATATTTGGATTAGAAGAGCTACATTCTCAGAGTTCTACACTGGAAGGTTAATCTGAAGCATTCAGTATGTAGGACAAGTTTGCATATGAGAGCTAGGTGGTAAACTAGATGCGTTAGTACTCTCTTCAGATGGGTCAAGTGAGAAAGAATTGGAGTCTACCCTTTAGTGGGAATAAAGAGAAAAATAATGAGAAGGTAAAAATTGGTGCGACTTGGCAACTGATGAGAAAAAATACTGAGGGCTTTTGCCTGGATCTTTTTTTTTTTTTTTTTTAATCCTAAACACCTTTTTACCTTATAGTTTACCGTTAGGGCTGATGAGTGATTATAGGCACAAGTTTGTGCCATTAGTTGTTCACAGTTTGCTTTCATATTTTAAATATTACTCATCACCCAGAATTTAAATACCCATTCAGTTATGGTAAGAAAACAAGGCAAAACTACCCACACAGCTAGCCATTGCAGAGGAGAAATTGATGCATCTGTTAGTTTACTTCACCTCTGTTTTGTTCTTCGCGTTGGCAACAGTGCGTGTTTAAGGACATCCAGTCTAACCAAATGATCTAGAAGAAAAAAAGAAAAGATTTAAAAACAAACAGAAACCTTTGCCTGAAATATAAAATCCTTATAAAGTCAGATTGCATATCAACAACCATTTTCACGCCAGCACTCCTAAAGGCACTCTTGTTAATAATGCTTTTCGTAGTATTGGAAATCGGGGATAACTTTACTTTCTCTTCTTCAGCACATATGAGTATGGTAGTAGGTATATAAGATTCTAAGTTTAATTGGTCCTTGCCACACATCAATTTTTTTTCTCTTTTTTTTTTTTTTTTTTGCCACACCCCGTGGCATGTGGGATCTTCGTTCCCCGACCAAGGATCGAACCTGTGCCCCCTGCAGTGGAAGCTGGGAATCTTAACCACTGGACTGCCAGGGAAGTCCCCACGCATCAATTTTGCTTTACAAGTTTGATGTGCTGAATGCAGGAAACCTTCCAAAATAAATATATGGAAAAAAATTTTTGTCCCAGCTGTAACAGTAATTTAGCTTCCTTATTCTACCCTAGACACAAGAGAAGCAGTCTACCAAAGAACTTGAAAAAATAAATGAATAATGGGGATACTTGCCCTGTTTCTGTTATCTTCCAAAAATGGTAACTGGATTACTAGTATGCAGGCAAATATGTGCATATCTGTGGGGTCCAATTGGGCTGCCCTGGTTCTGTGGGGAAAGCCTCAAGATAAGCCTGGAGGTGGGAGAGATATTTGATATGATGTCCTTAGGGATGAGAGTCTCTTAGGCATCCTCTAGCTCAGTGGTCCCCAACCTTTTTGGCACCAGGGACCGGTTTTGTGGAAGACATTTTTCCCCAGGGCAGGGGGCAGGGGTGGTGGTTCAGGTGGTAATGTGAGTAATGGTTCAGGCGGTAATGCGAGCGATGGGGAGCGGCAGATGAAGCTTCGCTCGCTCGCCCGCTCGCTCGCCCGCCACTCACCTCCTGCTATGCGACCCGGTTCCTAACAGGCCGTGGACCGCTACCGGTCCGCGGCCCCGGGGTTGGGGACCCCCTGCTCTAGCTCACTGTGCTAACAGCACAGCACAGGAGTTCAGTAGTGAAATTGGATCAGTGGATCAGCAGCATTAGGACATCTAATAGTGGCTCATTAAATATTTGTGCTTGACCACCTGGAGTTATTGCAAAACCTACTGAGACCCTGGAACTCCAGCTTTACGAGTGGGTAAGTTTATATGAAGACAACTAACCTAGGGTAATTGATGCTTCTTGATTTCAAATTGGATGTATCTCTTTTTATAATGTAAAATCAAACTCTGCAGTGAGTAGCTGACAAGCTGAACTGTCAATTATACAGTTGTTTCTGAATTCATATGCATTTTACTTAATTCTTTTTGTCTTGAAAGCAAAATTCTTATTACAAATGTACTTCTGTGTAATGGATTCTTTTTTCTAATAACAGATTTTAATAAACCATTTCTCTTCAGCATACAAACGGCTAGACGGTTCGACTGAATGCTGTAACAATCACAGCCTTACAGATGTGTGCTTTTCCTATAGAAATAATTTTAATAAGCGTTTGGTAAGTTGTCCCTGAAGCAGTCTTGCTTGCCTGATATAATTATTACAAAATAAGCATATAGAACTAAAATGGAATCTACAAAACCATTGCCCTTTTGCTTTGTATAATTTTATTAAAATCTCTACATTTCACATGTCATATTTCATCTGAGAATCTTTAAAAATTTTATAATGGTAATATCTTATTTGGCCAAAGTGGAATAATTGAATCTAATTTATAGTAGATACACATAAATGGCATTTCCTTTATATGAGCTTCATTCCTAATATGCTAGGTGACATGAAAGATATTGAAGTAATGTAACTTGGTGTTTTTCTTGTTAACAAGTCATTTTTAATATTGACTAATTAATGTTCTATCCCTAGCATACATGTCTACCTGCCCGGAAAGCAGTGGAAGCCACCCAAGTTTGTAGAACCAATAAAGACTGTAAAAAAAGCTCAAGTTCAAGTTTCTGTATAATACCTTCTTTGGAAACTCATACTCGCTTAATAAAAGTGAAACACCCACCTCAAATCGATATGTTGTATGTAGGACATCCACTGCACCTTCACTACACAGGTGGGTATTATTGTGGTAGACCCTCAGAATATCGCTACAATGGCATATATTCTCAGTGGTAGCAACCAGTACACATCTTGCATTAATTTTATTTATTATATTTGATCACTTTTCAAAGTCTTGTTAACTTGTTCTTAAGCACGAAATGAAATTTAAGCAGTAGGAAAATAATCTGAATTTATAAAGCAAGATGGAGCTGAACACCATGTCTGCCTATGGAGAGTGACACATGACGCATTTTTCCTTCACTACCGTTTATATCACATAGATGATCTCTAAGATATTCTCTGAGCGTTTATTAAATTTATCCAAGCTCCCAAAACAGTAGCAAGAGCAGCATATGTCAAAGAATGCCTGGAATCATAGTGATACTACACTTGATCTTAGCCAAAAGGCCGAGAAGCGATTGGAATCACAGTGATAATGATGATAAAGTAATTTGTGCATGACACATGAATTTTATATGAATATAATTTCAAAACCGGGCCAACATAATTGTTTTAACAGTGGCAACATGATTGGATTAAACATATAGCTTCTCCATATGGCTGAAGATCGTACAGTCTAACTTGTTGTACAAGATTTTTTTTATGTTCCTTTTTTTTTTACCAGTTTTATTGAAATATAATTCACATATCATACAATTCACCCTTTTAAATTGTACAGTTAGCTGGGACGAAGTGAGAGAGTGGCATGGACATATATACACTACCGAATGTAAAATAGATAGCTAGTGGGAAGCAGCCGCATAGCACAGGGAGATCAGCTCTGTGCTTTGTGACCACCTAGAGGGGTGGGATAGGGAGGGTGGGAGGGAGGGAGATGCAAGAGGGAGGAGACGTGGGGATATATGTATATGTATAGCTGATTCACTTTGATACAGCAGAAACTAACACACCATTGTAAAGTAATTATACTCCAATGAAGATGTTAAAAAAAATTAAAAATAAAAAATAAAGTGTACAGTTCAGTAGTTTTTAATATATTCAGAGTTGTGGAACCATCACCACAGTCTTGTTCCAGAATATTTTCATCACCCCAAAAAGAAAGCCCATACCCATTAGGCAGTCATTCTACTTCTCTACACCCACCCACCCCCAGCCCTTGGCAACCACTAATCTACTTTCTGTTTCTGCAAATTTGCCTGTTTCTGCACATTTCATATAAATGGAATATTTTGAAAAATATTTTGAAAAATATTTTGTATTTTTAAAGTCAATCTCTGTATTTGGTAGTCATAGTTGGTATATAATCAGTTTTATCATATTCGCACCTCAAAATATAAGTACACTGAGACATGAATTTCTGTATTCCACTATTTTTATTAGATGTTCTAGAATTGCCAATTGCTTTTATATGTGGGCCATAGAGCCTGCCTGCATATGTTTGGGAAGGGCTTTCTCAATCAATTTAATAGGCTAGCCCAATTTTTAGTCATATGGTAAAATTCATAATGCTGTTGCTTATCTGTATAAATAATATTATTTCTTATTTTTCTTTTTTAGTGAGCATCACCAGTTTTATTCCACGTTTCAACTTTCTAAGCATAGATCTGCCTGTGGTTGTGGAGACATTTGTCAAGTATCCTTTCTGGCGTGAAAGATGTTTTTAAAAGGTGCTACTTGGGGGCTTCCCTGGTGGCGCAGTGGTTGAGAGTCTGCCTGCCGATGCAGGGGACGTGGGTTCGTGTCCCGGTTTGGGAAGATTCCACATGCCGCGGAGCGGCTGGGCCGGTGAGCCATGGCCGCTGAGCCTGCGCGTCCGGAGCCTGTTGCTCTGCAACGGGAGAGGCCACAACAGTGAGAGGCCCGCGTACCGCAAAAAAAAAAAAAAAAAAAAGTGCTACTTGGAACTTCATTAGTTTTACCTTGATTAGAGAGCATGAACAGACCTTACAAGTATCAGTTAACTGCTAATACCAAAAAAAGAGACTTTAAAGTTGAAAAAGATCAGATTGTACCTAGGGAGGAAGAAGTCAGAGAAGAAAGATTGATTGGGAGGAGAGAAAGGTTAAGATGTCGAAGGGAAGGAACCTAGAATACAAATTGAGAGTTGAATTTAGGGGTATAAAACCTTTTAGTACGTTTATAAAGGATGAACGATTCAGCTACTAATGCGGTGATGAATTCCACCCCTTCTGAGCCTGTTGGCTCTGATCAAGTGGAGGAATGCGTAAGGGAGATCAAACTGGTTTCCAATACTAAAATAGCATTCAGAGGACAAAATCTCATGTGTTCTTTAGCATATTATATTTGCATGTAAAAAAATTTTTAATTGGTTATTATATAGAATTTCAATAAACTGAACAGTTTGGAAAGGTTCTTTATTTTTGTCACTTTTAAATCTTTAATTTCTTTCCTTAATGATTTGCAAAAAAAATGAAACAAAACAAATGAGCAAATTAGTAACAAATTAGTTAACAAATGAGTTACTAAAAAATGTGTACAGTCAAAATTGTACCTTGTAGACTGCAGCTTTTTCTCAGAGATATTTACACTATGACCTTACAGATGATAGTAAAATAGAGTTCAAGGGGCCAAAATCTTTATATATCTAATATAACGTATACTTCGTAAGGATCAAAAAGTAATTTTCCCTTATTTCTTATTCCTTTCTCTTGATGTATAATTAAAGGATTAGAAAGAGTTAGTCTTCTGAAGGAGTTCATTACAGATTGTCTTGGTCTACAAGTGGTTGGCCTTTATTTTTCTAGTCAAGGTTTTTGAACTTCGAAATAATATGTCATTTGTTTTAAATAGTAGAGATCTAAGAAGCAATGGTGTATACTGGTAAGCAGAGATTTAAAGAAAGGAAGGAAGTCACCTGTAATCTCAAATCCAGTCCTGGTAAAATGCCTGCTTCTGACTCCCACAAATGTGCTTTGCCCTCAGACCTCGCCGTAAGCTCCTTAACCGATTTTAACCAGGTACCTGATTTCCCTCTCGGGAGCTCTGGCTATTGTTAATGCAGTGCCCTGCTTTGCTTTGGACGGACAATGGATTTTAAACTCTTTCCTAGATGCTACTCTTACCTCAGTGATTGGAGACAATGATGTCAAAGATCTGATAGGATTTTTCATCCTGCTTGGTGGCAGTATACTTTTGGCTGCCAATGTGACCCTGGGACTCTGGATGGTTACAGCACGGTAATATCTGCACTCATTTGATAGAATCTCTGAGTTACAATATACAATATTGAAAACCTTACTTGGTGTGAAATATAAAGTGTTTCCTTAAAATTACATTTTAGCCAACAACTTTAAGTTCTTTATCCAGAGTATCCAAACTATGGGATAAACAGAAGAAATGAAAGGCATAGTCCCTGATTACATTCTAGTTTTAAAGACTGAACCTACAACCTTCAGATGCTTGTGGAACAATTCCTAAACAAGTGCAAATTCATGTTAAACCATTTTTGTGTGGCTACGTATCATGTTGAAATAATGTAAAGGAAAACAGAATTGGGTAGGATTAATTGGGAAAAACTTCTTGAAAAAGCATCATTAATCCAGATTTGAAGGAGACCAGACTTTGGCCAAGTGGAAAGGTGAGCATTTTCTTGGTCTATATCTCTTGTCCCTTGTCTTGTTTGAAAAGTATTTTTAAATTAAATTGTGTATTATTTTGTACTCTGACAACTGAGGTCTGATTACAATTAAATTAATAAAATTCTGTAAAAGAATCTGCTGACATGAAAGGGAAAATCTTTGTCAAATGATGCCAAATAAATGAACAAAGAGGAAGTAGGGTCTGTAATAGGGTGAGACATGTTTTGCCCCACAAGAGTTGCCTCTTTGATAATATGTCCCTATACTCTCATAAAGCAACACTACCCTTGACATTCAGAGTGAGCTGCAGAAGTATCTGCCACCTGCAGTATGTGAGCTGAGACAGTTAGGGGTGAACCTCAGAAATGAGCCAGGTGGGTCTTGCGGCAGGTCACAAGACAGATCACAGGACCTTCTGCAGTCTGGGTTACTGTTCTCTACAGAGCTTCAAAGCTTGGAATCCTTCCAGGGTAGGTATTTTCTCTTGTGCTGCTGGAGCTATCTGGGGCCTAGCTCCTAGGTCCCTGTCTTCAAGAAGCAATTACCTTAAAAAAAAAAAAAAAAAGAAGCAATTACCTTAAGCCCTGAACCATACTCTGTCCTCACCAGTGGCTCCGATGTTTCTCTGTGTTGGGTAATTAAATATGTAGTCCTTGCTTTCCATCTTTCCCCTAAGCTACCTCTGTGGGTCCACGAAAGACTTGGTAGTAGAGTGAGTATGGCTGCATGTGAGTACAAATGTGGATTTGCCAGTGCCCGGGAACTGCCTCTTGAGCCCAAAAGAGCCCTGCCTAGTTTGAGATCTTTTGGACTGGAGATGCAGCCCTGGAAGATCTGGGAAGTCAATAGGCCAGTGTGAAGCTGTTGGTATTAGAAGTATATGAGCAAGCTCTTTCTTTGATGAAAAATATTTGCTTCTCTCGTATACTCAAGAACATGAGTAGTCATGTATCCAAGTTTTTCATTAATTGAGGTATTCGTGGGGTTCACCTCTTTCAGATCACTGAGTTGCTTTTTAGGCACTAAAACTTTTTAACCATTTTTAAGGAAACTTTAGATTGTATTATAAATCTGTCTGCCTTCTTAAACAGAAATTATATATTGAATATAATTTTAATATTTTTAATGACTCAAGGTCATCAGTTATTACCACTACTTAAAACTGTACAAATTATTGGTTTATCCTAGGAAAAAGGCATTTGTTCTGTTTTTAGGCAGACAGTCTTTCAGGATTAAAGTATATTAACAGAGTGATACGCAGACCTGTTCAGGTAGTAAAGTTTGGGGAATACCATGAAATACTTACATAATTAATTCTATTACATGAACTAAGCAGTTTATTAATGGAAATGCTATATATGTGCAGGTCAGTTTTTTAAAACTGAGAAAAAAATTTAATAGATGAAATCCTACCTGTAAACTTCTTTTTCTGGGTGGAAAAAAAACCCCAAGCATGTCATTTTCTTATGGCTTTTAAACACCTTGGTCTTCTGCTACACTGGGTCAGGATTTGGCAAACACTCTATTAGGATATTGAGCACATCAGTCCCATTTTTACAGAAATGGCCTCATTGTGTAAGAAAGGAAATGTTATGTGTTGTTTCTTCAGCTTGATTGTGGGCACTTCTAGAGCGAGGACCATGTCATACTCATCTTTGCATCCCTGGCACAGTGCATGAGACATCAAAAATACTTAATAAATGTGGTTGAATGGATGATGATTAGTGTTATTTATGGATTAGAAAAGCATGTTTCTATTTAAGTAAGCTGTAAAAAGTATTATTGAATATACTGTAAATATATAACATAAAATAATAACTTGGAAGGTCTGTGTCCCTGATATATTATCATCTTTATGAAAATAGTCCATTTTGGTTTCTGTAGAGCAATTAGAAAAATGAATTATTTTGAGGATTTGAAGAAAGTGTTGTGTTGGCAGTTGTTCAGCAGTAAAACTTTATTTTCAGTGTTTCTATTCTGCACTGTTTACATTTTTCAGGGTTGTTTTTAATCACTTAAAATCCGTAAAGGATGTATATATTCTTTTTAGCATTTCAGTTTGAAAAGACATGCAGTTAAACTTGACCTTCTGATAATCACTCTTACAGGTCACTATCTGTTCTAACAGTAGATTGTAACCATGCACTTCATGGATATGTGGCTCTTAGTCATCAGTTTGTCCTGTGGTATTTATTGAATGTCCACATACTAATGGTACACAGGTATTTTCTTCTATAAATCTTTCAACTGAGCTGTAATTCATTCTTAGGCTTTAACTTGAAGATATCGTAGTTGCTGGCGTTTAATGTTTAGCAATAAAAGAATAAATGTGTACCAGCACTCTATGTTTTATCATCTATGTGTTGTCTTTTTTTTAATTTGTATTCTTTTCTGTCAAAATTTTTCCCTTTACATACAGTACCATCTTAGATGTTTTAAAATTCTTGATTCTAAAAGCAGCCTCAGTTTTCACTCAAGCAATCTGTATATGAAAGTTGTTGGTAGGCCACAGAAAGAAGTCTTTTTTAAATGAAATCCCTGTACTCTCACTACTGTTTTGGAAATGGCCTGTTCATGGATAAAGAAAGAAGACCATCATGTTTCGTTAGTGACTGATAGAAGTCTTCTCTAAGTCTATGTTTTTAGGAATTCGTGAAAGAAAGTGTTTCACCTTTTGCCCTAGCACTTCCTCCGTTGTCCACAGAGCCAACCTCCCTCCTACACACACACACACCACACACACACACACACACACACACACACACACTCTCACATTCTCTTTCCTTCTCTCCCCCTCCCCCTCTTCCTCTCTCTTCTTGGTTACTAAGGGCCAGATAAAATAGGCTGGGAATTTACCGCAGTTCCTGACTGACTAGTAGCCCCATCTCACACCTCCTCTTTGCCTCTGATCCCATTATACTACAGTTAAGAGCCACAAGACTAGATGATTGATTATCTATCAGCTTTACTGAAATATAATTAAATACCATAAAATTCACCTGTTTAAAATGTACGATTCAATGTAAACCAGTTTTCTTTTAATGACTCATCAAACAATAGTATACATACGCTTTAGTATAATCTATCCTTTTAAGTACATGAACACGTGATCAATGATAGAGTTAAGTAACAAATTTATTTTTAAGGGAAAGCATGTGGATATACTTTATTGAAACAGTAAGCCTTTTTAAATCAGTGCATATGCAAGCTACTCTTGCTGTTTAGGCCATACTAATTTGAATAATCCATTGTATATTTTATCAGACCATGGCAAATGAATTCAATGAGGGGAAAGCCTCTATTTCAGAACCTAATGCTACAATAGGTTATATTCAGGGTGGAGATAGAAAAAAATGGCTAAAGGAAGTTGCAGTTCTAATTACCAAGCAGGTTATATTGTGTAATTTGATTTCCCATTAAAGAAAAAAAAAAACACCCTTATATCTTAGTTTTATTTAGCTAAAGATTGATGGATATTCAATAAATGTCCCTTATTATCTGAATGCTTCTCAGACTTTTGTACTGAAGTGCTCCTGACACTGTAGAGAAGGGAAAACCCAGAAGTATCTAAGAGTAGAACCCTGTAATTGGCTCTCCATCCTATAAAGTTGAATCTCACTTTATCTTAAATTCATGTGAATTTTACATTCCATTAATCAGGCATCATAAAGCCAGTCCTCCTCTTAAAGATATGAAACTCTAAACTGTAAAAGAATTAAACCCTATGAATATTAAGATTTTTCTTCATGTCTAAAACACATTGGTAGAGGGAATCCCTGGCAGTCCAGTGGTTAGGATTCAGCACTTTCACTACCATGAGCCAGATTCAATCCCTGGTCCAGGAACTAAGATCCCGCAAGCCACCCGGTGTGGCCAAAAAATAAATAAATAAAATAAAATAAAACACATTGGTAGAAAGTATATAACAGCTGGTCTGTAGACTAGTGACAGCCTATGTTGGTGTTTTTGGATCCATAGTGAAATAAAGATAATGTGTATTATCTCTAATTACAAAATAAAGATAATGTATGTGTGTTGTTAAAAGGTTGCCTGCTGCCCTTTATCAAAGAGCCCTCCTTTATTTGGAGTATGGAAATGCAATAATTTCACTTAGCACTTAAGGGCTCTCTGTAACTGAAATTTATTCATTGGCAAGGCGTGTGGGTTTCATGTTCACCCGCACCCTTACCTCCACCTGAATTACCTGACTTCCATGTCCTGACAAATCCCTTAGGTGCAAAATGGCATTTTCTTTGAACTTGCATTTCTCATATTATTAATAATATTGCATATCTATATATTTGTTTAGCCATTTGGATTTTTCATTCTGCCAATTGCTTATTGATATCCTTTGTTCAGTTTTCCATCAAGCATCCTAAATTTTTCTTATTGATCCATAGGAATTTCTTGTGTATTCTAGATTAGGGATCAACAAACTATAGCTTGAAGGCCAAATCCTGCTCACCAGCTATTATGGTAAATAAGTTTTTATTGAAACACAACCATATTCATTCATTTATGGCTGCTTTCATGCTACAACAGCAGAGTTGAACAGTTGCAACAGAGACCATATGGCCCATAAAACCTAAAATATTTACTATCTATTTACAGAATAACCCAAGTTCTAGATATCAACTCTTGTCCATTTTAGATGTTGCAAATAATTTTTCCCAGTCTATCATCCATCTATAAATTTTTGTTTATGAGGTCCTTTGTTGAACAAGGATTTTTAGTTTGATGTAGTCAAATCTATTAATTTCTTGATTCATTGTTTGTATTTTGTGAGTCTTACTTAAAAAGTTCTGTCCTGTCCCAAAGTCACAATAATATCCTATACTTTCTTCTGTTTGCTTTAGAGTTGTACTTTCACAATGTGATCTTTAATTTCTAGAATATATTGTGTGAGGTAGGAAATCCAGGTTTATTTTTCTGTATAGAATGAACTATCTTTAAAATAGACATAATAGTATTTTCCTTTATAATATTGTTAAATAAAACAGGTTACCTAAAGTTCTTAATATGGCACCTGACACGCTCAAGTTACTATTATGTACTCTATTTACTTTCAGAATGCAGAATTATAACATAAATTTTCCCTCATATCTCACTCCACACTGGCATTAGATCTTGCCTCCATTTGGTATGCCTTTTTGGCTTCCAGTGCTTTTGGGCTAGCTCTGGTTTTCCAGAGTGTCTCCCCAGGCCTTGACCCTTTTAAATATTTTTTCCTGCAATAAAAATGGACCTAAAATCGTATTTAAGGTGTTGGCTAAGGATTTTGCTCACTGAAACTATTCAAAATAATCTGTGTTCATGGGTGTATTCATTGATAGTAACATGGGCATTTGACCCAAACTGTCTTAATTCAGAAGGAAGCACTGTGATGAAGCAATGTAGGAGAGAATTTGGGGCAGGATGAACTTTGAGGACTAAATCAGACTATAGAAAGCTGTACACAGTCTGGGATATTGCATTTCAAAGTAAGCTCTTTTTTTTTTAAACAAGTTCATTTTAATTTGTATTTTTTTAGTTAGAAAAGAGGCTAAACTTTTTTTTTAATGTCTGTTGTTTTGTAGATCTTTTTTATCCACATCCTTTGCCCATATTTCCCTGCAGCCATTATCACCTTCTTACTGCTTGTCATCATTCAAGATTCACATTTTCACAAAGGGTTTGCAAATATATTGGACCATATCTTAACTTCTTTTACCTGCCCTTGACCTTCACGCTTTATTCCTAGCATTCTTATCTTCCCTTTCAGCCACTTTGTTTCCATCCTTTAATGGCTTCCAATTTTCTTCCTAGGCTTTCTGTATCACCAGCAATCTACAGTGGGAGGTAGCACTTAGCAATTTACAGAATTTTCATTCGTCCAGTTCAGGCCATCCCCTTTTCTGTTACGGAAATAACTGGGAAAAAGAGTTGGTTATCAGGAGTTTACTTTGGGAATATGGAATTGGAACAGAAAGAGACAGATAATGTAATTTAGGGGCCTTTATAGAATATTTCTTACTAGAAAAGAAAGGCAAGTTCATTATAGAGAACATGTTAAATGAAAGTAAATTGTAATATCTTGAAAAAATAGCATTATATTATAGATAATTGGTAAGCTACCTTCTAAACTTGACAGTATATTATAAGCACTTTTCAATGTTATTAATATTCTGGTGTTATTTTAATAGCTGTATAATATTGCAGTGTTAAATATGCCATAAGTTAATCAGCCCCTATTACTTCCAATTTTGCAATATTATAAACAAAGCTGTGAGGAATATCCTTATAACTACATCTTTTTGCATATCTATGATTTTGGGTAATTCTAGAAACTTAATACTAAAAGGAAAAATTGCTATCTTGAAATTGAACAAAGTTTTATATATACATATTGCCTTGTTGCATTTACATTTTGTGTGTGTGTGTGTGTGTGTGTATGTTACGCGGGCCTCTCACTGTTGTGGCCTCTCCCGTTGCGGAGCACAGGCTCCGGACGCGCAGGCTCAGCGGCCATGGCTCACGGGCCCAGCCGCTCCGCGGCATGTGGGATCCTCCCGGACCAGGGCACAAACCCGCGTCCCGCGCATCGGCAGGCGGACTCAACCACTGCGCCACCAGGGAAGCCCGCATTTACATTTTTTTCTGTTAATTGGGTAAGGTAAAATGGCGTCTCATTTTAATTCGCATTTCTTTGGTTAGAAAAGAGGTTGAATACTAAAATGTATTTATTGGCCATTGTATTCTTTTTGTTTATCCCTATCCTTAGCCCATTTTGCAAGGGAGTGATTATTGTCTTCTTACTGCTTTTCCTCATAAGCTCAGCTCCATCATTTGATTTGTTACTTGCAAATATATTAAAACATCACTTAAGTATAATGCTTATTTTTATGTTTTCATATATCATGGTCTGTCAGTCTTTACCTTATGCTTTCCACCTTTGATGATATGTTTTGAAAGTCTCCTCAAGATTTTATAAGTATTCACATTTTCTTATAATATTTTTATTATTTTGTTTTTCAAACATTCAAATCATTAATCTACGTGCAGTGTATTTTGATGTTGGTGCAAAGTAGGGATGTAACCTTGTGTTTTGTTATCCCCAAATGATTAACCAGTCGTCTCAAAGGAGATGGTTTAGCCTTAAGAGATTTTTCATACCAGCCAGGAAGAGGCATAAATTTATATACCTTGGAGAGAATAGATATAATAAGTGAAATTATCTCTCATTTGATAAATCATTCTTATTTATATAGGAAGCAACTATTTATTATTTTACTTTTTCAATTCATTAATACAATGAACTGAGAGTATATCTCACGTGTTTTAATTGAATAGAGTGCTTAAAT